TGAGGTACAATTGTCTGAACCAGGCTTACAGGTTCACCACAGTCATGGCCAAGCTGAATTTATTTTAGCTCATATCTAATCCATGCTGTCTGTACTGTTTTCATGTGGAAATCAAGGCTCTTGTGCTGACTTGGCAAAGAGGAGAACATTTTCCGTTGAAAGTTTACAAAATGGAAACAAATATATGGCGGAAAGGAAGGTTATATTGGCATTTTTCCTATTTATGGCAGTTCCTGCATCTGAAGCTCTTCTGTGTTTAGAACTGTGCAAAACCGCCTGCCTTTCTCCTTGGGGAGACAACCTATTGATGAAACTGCTGATGATCGCTAGTCATGATGGTGTTATCTACGAATGAAAGAATGCATATAAAATTTGAGTTCATCAATCAACTGTTGCACTTGTGTTTCATGGCTAACTGATGGCATCTCTTCACATGTGTTTTTGTGCATCCCTTTCGCAATTCCAGTTCAATTCAAGTTCCAGTATTATGTAATGTGTATATTGAGAATTGGGGGCCTTGGAGGTGCACACCAAAAGCAAATGCCCGGATCACAGATTAAGGAGAAACACAGGTTATCTGGCTGGTCTTCCTGACCATGGTAAAATCTAGTGTATTTTTATTTATTTTTTTACAAGCATTTATATCCCATCCTTCCGCCAAGCGCTCAGGACAGCTTGCAAAATATAAAATTGCAATGTAAATCCTCAATGATTAAAACAATATAAAACAACATGAACTTAAGAAAAAGGAGGAAAAGAAGATGCGACTGTGAAGAGAGGAAAAAGAAAAAAATCCTAAAACATCTAAAACCCTTGATTATTAAAACAACGGTTGAATAAAAAGGCATTTCTGTTTCAATTATAGCCATTATTTCTAAATGGACACCTCTACACATTAGTCAAAGCAAATTGTATTCAGCAAGACCAAAACTAGGGCAGGACAACATCACACAACCCGATGCTGCTTCCCAGTAACCATCCATACCTATTTTCGTTCTTTTTGGCAGCATGTGGCCATCTGAACGGTTAAAAGCCTACGCAGCCATGTTTAGGTATAGTTAAGCCTTGACTGTAATAACAGAATTGTATTCTATTAGGCTGATGTCTCCCAGGCTTCTTTAATAAACTGATATAAGTGGAGGCAGCAGCAAACAATCATGAATTGGAAGATGCTAAACCTCTAAGAGAAGAGATAATCTGAATAAACCGCATTTGGTAACCATATTAGCTGTTGGGGTCCCTCCCCCACCCGTCCTCGCAGTTTACATGTCACTGGCTGGGAACGATTATCTGCCACAAAGAGTAAGGTTTGGGAATTAACACAAGAGTGTTTCTCACATCCATTCAGCAACCGGGCTTCTGTCCATGGTTCTTTTTGCTGGATATATAGAAGTGTGCAGAGGAGGGGCTGTGAAAGGTGCCAAATTCAATTCTCTGGTGGGAGATTTTGCTTTCTGAAATGCTGGGAAACTATTTCGAGTCAGGATATACAAGGCTGAGTGAGGTGGAGCCATGCTGTGAACTGAATTCAGGCAGCTTCCTAGGGTAACTGTGCCCACACAATGGGTGGGTTCAGATAACACAATAACTCACAGTCAAGGTTGATGATGGGTTGAGTGTAGGCTGATATTGAACTATGGGTGAAACATGAGTTATTACATTGTGCTAAGAAATGATCCCAGCATTATTGTTCCCAGCATCGCTAGGAACAATAGATGGCAAAAGAAGAAGGGGACAGTAGAGGATGAGGTGGCTGGGTGGAGTTGGTATGAGCTTGGGTGGACTTCGGGAGATGGTGAAAGACAGGAAGGCCTGGAGGAATGTTGTCCATGGGGTTGCAATGGGTTGGACATGACTTCGCGACTAACAACAACAAAGAAATGATCTGTACCCAGTGCACAACTGAGCAACATGGTTCTGTTCATGGATTCTTTGTGTTTAACAAATGATGCTACTGTGGTTTGCTCCAGACAAAACAGTAATCCACGGTTCAAGGGCAACTCATGGCTTAATGACAATCCACACTCAACTTTGGTGTGTGTGTTATCATGTTGTCTGAAGCCAGCCAATAGGTTGTGTCACCCGAGGATTCCTTAAGTGTGCACATAGCCCTGGTATTCAACCGAGCCAAGGCCTTTCCGGTGTTGGCACCATCTACCTGGAATGCTCAAAGATACATTCTTGGCATCAACAATGTTGTAATTTGGGCACCAAGAGAAAGCTATTTCTTTGACTTTAGGATTTGCATTTCCATACCATGGAAAAAAAGGGAAAACATCACCAAAGAGGACAAATGAGGATGCATACTCTTTTCATATAATTTTCATGTTCAAATGTGTGTGTTTGGATGCAGATTCAGAAAGAACTGTTGCAATATAAACAGAAATACAATTCATCTCACTACTGAGCAGAAGGCTCTGACCAGATCTGTGTGCTACCCATGTGCTAACGATGGATGAACATGTTCAAGACCCCTGTTCTTCTTTCTCTTTAATCTTGTACGGGACAGTCCTCCCTCACATAAAACCCATAGCACCCTGTCAGAACTTCTGAGGAACCCTGCCAAGTTAGGAAAAAGTTGACCATCCTAGATCAAACAAACCTTGTTGGATCAGACCTAATGGTCAGTGGCCGGGCACACGGCTCCAGAAACTGCACACCCAGAGAAAAGGGGCAACCGTTTATCCTCCACAATATGTGGGGTTCACAGGTATATTGCTTCCAAACATGAATGCTCTACTTAGCAATCAAAGACAATGGATAGATGCTGGTCGATTTACATTTTATAAAGAGGGTTATTTAATGTAGTGTTGGCCAGTGGCCACCCAGACTTACTTACTTGTGATATTTGTATACACAAATACAGTGGTGCATTTATCAATTTCAAAGCACAGATGCTCACCATGAAATATTCCTGTAGCTGCATCTTCAAGAAGAGTCCGTAAATGCAGGAGTCGGTGCACATTAAGAAACCATTTCTGGTACTTTCCATTTACACAAGGAGCAGGTCTTCTGTGAAGCTGATGGGCCCGGATGGCCCATTCAAGTCTAAGCCACCCCCAAATACTTTGTCCCCTGGACTACAAAATGCCAGCTATATGGAGGAGGTCCATTGAAACTTAATGGGCAACTTGTGGCCATCAAGATGTTTTGGCCTGCAGCTTCCAGCTCTAGGCAGTATAAACATGGGAGCTGTAGTCCAAAACATGTGGAAAGGGACGAGTTGCCCAGCACATAAAATAACGACAAATGCCACAGAAAGCAACAGCCCCATTTGTCACTCTGTGGATAGCGTCACCGTAAAGTTTAGTTACTAGGTGTCACTGAACTTGGCAGCATGTAGGTGAAATCAGGAGTTGGCCAGGTTTCGGCCCTGTTTCTGGTTTGAGAGAGACAATAACATTCTTGTCTAGCTCCTAACTCATGTCTCCCCCAGGCCTTCCTTGACACAGATAGGAGTTCAACAAACAGTTGTGGGGAAAAGACTCCATGTTCACCTCTTTATAAGGAAGGGATTTTGTTTTGGGTTACAAAATATTAGCTGAATAATGCAAACCTCGTGCTTAAATACCGCAATTCCATTTCTGAAAAGCCACTTGGTTAATCTTGGTGTCGAATCGAGCTGTTTTAAATTACTGTAATGTATAATAACAAGTCTTAATGACAATACAGTTGTGTGGAGCCAAAAAATATTAGGAAATACGGGCCAGAAACGATGAGCTAAGAACAAGCGCAAGTGAGAACACAACCCCACAACTGTTTATTAGGCATAGAGAGGGTTTTGGAGGGGCACTGTCTGCGGGTCCCAGAATGTTCTGTAGGAATAAATTGTTGCGAGAACTTGCAGAGGTCTCTCCTCAGAAAAAGCCATCCCTTAAGATTAGGAACGAAGAAGTGGGAATTTAATGGCGGAATTTGGAGATTTCTGTGGTCAAGAGAGATTCTGCTGGCCTGCTGGTGTACATCAACAAATTAATATTGTATGGCTGCCATTTCAAAGCTTGCTCAAGGCAAAGCGACGTTCGTGCACACATGGTTCAAACTATATGCAGATATTCATACTTGTGCTTTTTCTTTTGCATTTTGTCTGAGTTGTTTCTTCTTTTTTTTCTGTCGAACTGTAATGAATTGTCTCATAATCTATTCCATCTTCTTGCCATTAGCAGACTCTGAATGTTCACAAATAGGAGCAAAGAACTCATTTTCCAGAGCTTTAATCACACAAAGAGGGAATGCCTAATTCTCTAAATGAAATGGTCTGTGATCACTGAAGCAGAGATTTAATATATCACGGCAAATTAGGTAGATTTTAATAAATTACTTATCTTTCTGAATACTTTACATATGCTTACGAAAGAAATATAGCCTGTTTTGCAAACAGTGGAAAGCTACTCTACCTCTAAAACGGGGTTTTTTTTTTTAATGAAAAGCTGTGGCAGAAGTATATATTCAAAAATTAAACATAACCTTCCACATGTGAATCTCATCTAGAACCTTATCTCTCTCTCTCTCTCTCTCTCTCTTGTTTTTTTTGCAGTGTTGAGCCACAACTTCACTTTAAAAAATCAATTAAAAAAAACCTCTATCAGAATTGCTGGAGAGTTTGAAAATTGAGTTTCCAGGCTGCAGCCATTCACTGATGATCCAGATACAACCATTTGTTGTTCAGGTTTTACTTAAGTTTTAAATGTGGTGTGTGTGTGTGTGTGTGTGTGTGTAGGAGAGCTATGGCTCAGCATGAAATGTAAGATTATCTGATCGATTCTTTTATAGTTTAATCTTGCACTTTGATAGCTATTAGTTCAAATATGTAAATCCCTTTTTTCCTGCAGATGAAAACAAAAAACAGAAAAAGATAAAATAAAAAAATGGGTATTTGCAGTACCCTCCCTTCCAAACCTGATAATCACAAACAACTGATTATAATTTTAGCAGAAGGGCAAAAGTTGTGTGTTTCTTTTTATAAAAGCTTGCAGTAATTTAATAAGTCTTGGGACCAGTCGCGTTCTTTATATTTAATTGATAGAAACGGCATGCATCAAAGAAAACGCATACTGAGATTTAATGTGCATAAAATGGATATTAGCATTTTAAAGAGGCAGATTAACACATTAATCCAAGTAATTTTCATATATTGCTTCTAATAAAAGCTTCACAGTATAAAATTCTTAATGAGGCTAATCGCAGGCATTCCATTTAGTGGGGTGATTAGGGATAACATAAAAGTATTTTTAATCAGTTTTCTAAGGCTTACTTTTTTATTAAAAATTAAAAATTGGACTTGCATTTTTATTACTGTTTTATGTAAGGCAAAAATATGTGGAAAATGCAAATAAAGCACATCATTCAATCATGTAGGTATTAATTATTTACAAGCTGGTGTCCACTGTGGACTGAAGCCTTGCCGGGGGTGTGGGGGGATAGATATATAAAAAAATCCAAACAGACAGAAATCTATATAAACTTTACAACAGCAAATTGTGCATCCTTTACATATAAATTATACATTAAATATACTATAGCAGCTCTCTGTCTTCCAAGAGCTATCCAACATTGGCCACGCTGGGAGAAGGCACTTCTGTGGGTGAAGACTCTTATTTTCTGACCTCCCGGCTGTTTTTAAGCTCCTCATAGATGGAATGCAGGGCCTGGAAAGCTTTCACGGTTACTCTGAGGTGCCCTATTACTGCTCCATCATCCTGTGAACTGACAACTAGAAAAGAAATGGGGAGGGGATGGAACCCAGGTTTGTCAATTTGAGCTTTGCCTTACTTCAGCACCTCCATTAAACCACAGTTTCCCATTATGGCTGAACTGGGAAACTGGCTTAATTTGTTTATAAACTAGGACATCAAACCAGGATCATCTGAGATTGGGTTCTGACAACACAATAACACACATTCAAGGAGTGAGTATGGGTTTAGCATGAGTTGTCACTAAGCCATAGTTTCCTGAGGAAACGTGATCTGAATGCAGCCGGACGTACAAGCCATGGGTTGTTAGCCACAAACAACCTATGGAGAAAACCCATGGTTTGCTGTTGGGTTGTGGGCTGTTTGCCATGGCTTGTTGGCTGGGTTCAGGCAACATAACCTATGTTTTGACAACAACCCATGATTCACTGACAACCTACACAGCGCCTTGGGTTATCATGCTGTCTGAGCCCAGCCAGTGTGGTGTAGCTGTTGTGTCTGACCATGGGTGACCCAGGTTCTATCTCCTATCAATCATGCAGCTTGCCAGGCAAAGCTGAGACAATCATCTCTCTCGGCCCTAACCTGACTGAAAGTAGGTTAGGACAAAAAGAGAGACAAACAACGGTAATCCATTTTTTACTGACGGTTGCCAATTTGGGGGGAAAAAAACCTGCTTCCTATCGGAGATCATGTTCGGAAGAATGTGCACCTTACTGGGGAGATTCCAGGGTCAACTATTTTATGAGCTGGAGTAATCACCTTCTCTAATACCATTTTGCCTACTAGTGCACTTTCAAAACTATATTTCAAGCAGAACAAGATTTCAAGTATCATGAGACAAGCTACGATTCAGAATTCATTTTCGTTCAGAATCCATTTTCATCCGAGGGGTCTGTATGCACAAAAAAATCATGGTTCTGTGGGTGGGGGGAACGCCAAACTCAGAAATAATTTTGGAGTTGAGAGCTGTAAGAAGGAGCGGCGGAAAGACACCCTGGACTCACCATTGATGGCTTGTTCGGTGATGTCCTGCTTTTTCCTAAATATCTCACTCAGCCTGACGTAGGCAAAGCCGATATCCTCACACTCCAGATCCTGCTCCTCTTCGGGCGGATCACTTACCACTGTGAACTGTATACTGGGAAAGGATTGGGGTTGGGGAGGAAACAAGCAAAACCACATCATTACTTTTGGTACCTTGAACCTTCCATGCCAGTGGGGAACCTCGGGTCCAAACTCGGCATCGCAATTATTATTCATTATTTATTTAGGGAACTTCTATGCTGCCCCATTCGCTGAAGCCTTGGGGCAGCTCACAACCATAAATAAATAGAATCCTATAAAACAATATAAATTAAGTCAATATAAATTAATAGTCACACTTCTAGGAAAAGAGAGTTTAAACTGGGCACGGGAACGCTGCAAGGACCTGATCCAGACACCAGGGCAGGCTAGGTTTCTGTTAAAAGTCATTCCACCCCCATAGCTCCACTCAACAGGTTGAGAGCATTGCCTGGATCACACCTGCATGGATCTCTTTTCTAAATCAGACCAGCACATTGCTTTTAAAAAGTGACCAAGGGTGTGATCCTGTGCACACTGAGGCAGAAAGAAGGCTGAACGCCTTCTTGGGAAGGTTCCAGTTTTCTGTTAGCTCCAGAACATTCTGTACAGCAAGGTCTCTGGATTCCGTGTAGCCGTTTCAGGGGATGGGAAGAAGAGGATGGGATGCCCATTTCTATCGGTGCAGCTGATCCAGCACAAATCTGGATCCAAAGCATGGTTTTAACAGGAGCAAAATCTGTTCTCCTGTAGAAAAAATCTAAATCATCCGTGTAAAATATAGGATGCCCCTTAGCCACACACATGCTTTATGGCAGATGATATATAAAGGAATTTAGTTGCCCTGCAGTGGCATTGAAAGTTCTGCCAATAAAGTCATTTCCTCTAAGAAGTGAGAACGCATAGGATGCTGAACGGAAGGAAACGTTTTTGGGGCAGGGGTAAATTTAAAAGTGCATTATCCTTTAACGAGCAGACAAATAACTGCTCCCCCCTGCTTTATCCTGCCGTGCCTTTGTTTACTTGAAAACGTGGAATGGCACAAAGCGCATGGTGCAGACACATGTAATTTGTTGCTTTCCCTGGCACGATTGCTTTCCACAATTGGAAAGATCTAGCCAGACCACTGAGCGTTGGCTTCGCACATTGTCAAGTATGTCACAGATGTCAAAAACGGAAATATATGAAAACATCAAGCGTCAATGAGGATTAATTCCACCGTTGATGCTACAGATGCTTCTCCGGAAAAAAATAATTCCACTTCTAAGCTCCTCCGAAAGATCAAAGGGGAATGGTAAGAGGAAGCACCTTTCCATATAAGGAAGGGCTGATGCCAAACCCTTGCTTTTTAAAAAGGTAAAGTAAAAGTCAAGTCAAGAGAAAAGGCAAGTAAAAATCAGGATATGCAAGTAATCGCAGTATATTTCAACACTGACATGGAGGTTGCCAGGGGAATGTTTGCCCTGCACCTGCTCCTCTGAGAACACCTACATTTCTCATCCTTTCCTTCTTTTCACCTTCTGAGTGTTACATTCAAAGGACTTCTTCCTGGCCTCACATGTACATACCTTAAGACCTCCAGATTTTAAAGCTGTAAAATAATTAACGCATCGGGGCAGCATTCCTATTCATATCTAGCTGGGAGTACGATTCAGTCGACTCAGCGGGGCTTACCTCTGAGTAGACATGTCTGAGATTGTCACCCTGGGAGGGCACCTTTGGATCTCTCAGTTGGAAAGTTAACCGTTATTTTGGCAGGCTGTTTTGGTTCTGGTTTGGGCTGTCATCAATTTAATAGAAAATCTGCAGTGATACAGCATTTACATAGGCACCATCTAAGAGATTATTTATTGATGGCATTTCTGTCCCTCACCTGGATAGATTTCAAAGCAGTGGACAATGAAAAGGGAAAAGGCCAAAAAAAGGAAAAGAAAAAAGAATGACTACAGTGCATTTTAAACAAGGAAACTTTACAATGGTGCCTGGACAGTGGGAAATGCTTCTGGGAACAAAGACGGTTTCAGCTGGTGCTGCAAGCCAGCAAGTATTGGAGCTTGCCTGTCCTCGGGAGGCAGAGAGCTCCAGAAAGAGGGAGTCACCACTGGGAAGGCTCTGCTGGTGGTGGACTCCATCGGGCCAGAAATGCCCCCCCACCCCAAATTCACAACACTGTAGATGGATTAACCCCGTGGTCTGTGATGATGACAATCTACCAAAATAGGCATGATCACAAAATAGGTGGTATTACAATCAACCTTCCCCCGTGCTGGCAAAGGAGGAATGGAGGACTTGGAAACATGTGCCAAACTGCTGGTTGTTGTTGTTGCTAGTTGCAAAGCCATGTCCGACCCTTCGCGACCCCACAGACAACACTCCTCCAGGCCGTCCTGTCCACCACCATACCCTGGAGTCCATCTAAGCTCACGCCCACTGCCTCAGTGACTCCATCCAGCCACCTCATCCTCTGCCGTCCCCTTCTTTTGCCATCAATTGTTCCCAGCATCAGGCTCTTCTCCAGGGAGTCCTTCCTTCTCATTAGGTGGCTCAAGTATTTGAGTTCCATCTTCAGGATCTGGCCTTCTAAAGAGCAGTCAGGGTTGATCTCCTCTAGGACTGACCGGTTTGATCTCCTTGCAGTCCAAGGGACTCGCTGGTGCACTACAGCGATTAGGGTGTTGGACTAGGAATCAAGGGACCTCAATTTAAATCCCCACTTGGCCACGAAACTCACACGGGTGAATATGGACCAGCCAGTGACTCATAGCATCCCTGGGCTGCTGCGAGGATAAAACGGGCAAGGGGAAGCTTATCCACTCTGCACTGGGCTCCTTGGAGGAAAGGCGGGATACCATCGCATCCAGTAAAGGACAATGGACAAATTAAGGTCCAAGCATGAAAACAATGCAGATTTACATTTCTCTTCCCTTTCACAGTCCAAGGAACGAGGATTTTAGATAGCACCGATTTATCCCAGCACTGCAGCTAGACCATGTGCAGCCAATTTGGACTGATATTTTTATCCTTGGTCCTTTAGTTTCCTAAACTTTCAAGTTAAGTTCCTGTTTCAACTAAGAGGAGATTTTTCGGGGAGGGTTTATTATATAAGGCTTTGGGATTAGAAACATGTGCCGAGGGAGAGCCAGGCAGCCAGCTTTGAAATGCGCTGCGTCCGCGTGCTGGAGGGCCACACTCTGCTTTTCTCTGTCCTTATGGCTCACTGCAAGGGTGGGGCTGCAGCCAAAAGCTTCGTGGAGCGATTCATAGCTGGGCTGCTGGCACGGGAAGGGCTGGACAATGCTCGCCTGTGGCGGGGGCCATGTGCAGACGCTTGCAACAGCTGGAATGCAACGGCAATGCCCCATGGGAGGCAACGAGCTGGTCTGCAGGCTGCAGATGGAGTCCCAGGCGTCCATACGGATGGTAGGCTGCAGGCTGGATGCACGATCTAGCTTGCAGGAGGTCTCTTTGCCCAACTGTTGGGGATGCCCCCTTGCCCCACAGCACAGCTCAGCCCATGCAGCAGAGCCTCTGCTCTCTCTGTGCAGTCCTTTCAGAGGGAAGGAGGGACCAGGGAAGCCCCTTTCCACCAGCACAGCTGATCCAGCGTAAATCCAGACCTGGTTTTATATCTGCCATGACATCCTGGCAGTTAGGCTGCCACTACAGCACACGGAGCATCTTTACTTCCCCAACGATCCAGGTAAACCATGCAAGGCGAGGTTTTCCAGCCCCATGGGTAAAACACCAAAATGCTTGAAGGAGCTGGAGTCTTCGAAACAGAGGATGAACTGCGGCTATCCCTAACCCAGTGCCCCCTGGACATGCTGGACTGCAGTTCCCATAATTCCCGGTCAACATGAGTCAAACAAGGTCCACTGTCGGATGGTGGGGAAGAGAGCATCTTGCTTGCGATGGGAGGCATGGATTGATGTGATACGGGAAGGAGGGATCCCACTCAGCACTTCCATGATTGCACTGGAAATTGGGCGTGGAATTCCATCTGTCATAATGGGGCAACGTATGAAGATGCCTTATAGTAAATTAGAGCAGATTCATCCAGTCTAGAATCTTCTATTCTTGAGTGGTAGGGGCTTGCTAGAGTCTTTCCCAGCCCTGGGAATTCCTCTAGAGTAAGCAAGGCATGTACTCTGGCACTGAGCTGAAGCTCAAGGATCTAGATGAACTGAGGGAGTGATTTGTTGTTGCTAGTTGTGAAGTCACGTCTGACCCATCGCGACCCCATGGACAACATTCCTCCAGGCCTTCCTGTCTTCCACCATTGCCCAGAGTCCACTGAAGCTCACACCAACTGCTTCTTGCTACTGTCCATGGGGTTTTCATGGCAAGGGTACTGGAGTGGGTTGCCATTTCCTTCTCCAGTGGATCAACTTTTGTCAGAGCTCTCTGCTATGACCTGTCCGTCTTGGGTGGGATAGCTCATAGCTTCACTGAGCTACATAAGTCCCTTCACCACCCCTTCCGTGAAGGGACAGGGGATTCTAGAAGAAAAGAAAGCCTGAAGGAGCAAGATGCATTTAAGGAACAGGTGGCCACCTGGAGTACATTCACCATCTGCACGTACTTCAAAAGAGGCTGGTTCCTTTGGTCAGCAAGGTGTAAAGTATTTAACGTCGACTGGAAGGTGCATTCACCTCCTACATTAGCAGCATGCTGACATGGAAGGGAGTTTAGACTGTGAGCAAAAGATTTCTCTTGAATTGCTCCTATGAAACAATGACCCATGCCCCGAAAACGTCATGATTCGGAAATCAGTAACTTTGTTTGGGGGCTTGCTATCCCCGGCATGTCCTCCCTCTTCCTAATATATGCAGTAAATCTGGAAGTCCTTTGCTTGTTTGCTGAAATCAGAATAGATAAGGAACAGTCTTTCGGAACTTCAAAGTGCTTTAGATGTGATACATGCCCCGTTCTTAAGGGATCGCTTTCTGGCACTTCCTGTCAGATTCCGTTAAAAAATTGTGCATTGGCCAACGTAGGAAGCTCGATTTTAAAGTAAAATGGAGGAAGCAAAGCTTACTTTCTTATGGCCAAGCATGACCCTCAGGTCTGAACTGCTTTTCTGTAAATACATGGATAAGTGGGACAAAGTACCGATCCGTAAGTCTTCCATTTCCAACTGAACCAGCCGTGAGCAAAATGGCATGGAGCTGGAAACCCACAAGTCCTCGGTCCTCCTGGCTGGGGATGCTGGGAATTGTAGTCTGACCTATCCGGAGGGTGTTAGGCTGGGGAAGGCTGCTCCACTTGGGTATTTGCTGGCTTCCAGAAAGGAAAAAAAATCAGAAGTAGTCGTGTGCTGTTGGGACATTACAGCAAAGTCTGGCGAGTTTCCATGTGAATTCCTTTAATTATGTGGACAGTTTGCATATTGCATGGAAATACGAAAGGAGAAAGCGAATACCTACAACTGTTGGAACAATATCAACTATCAGGCCGGATTTGACATGGCAAGGACGGTAGGTCAAAGTGTCCGTACTTACCTTCCCAGGCTGGGCTCGGACCCCTGAAGCACGGCTTTAAGGAAATCCCGCCTCGCTTTGTTGCCCGCCTCATCCAGGTGTACCACTGCAACATCAATGGAAGTGAGAGTGGATGCGTTTGTCATAATCACACATACAGGAGGCATGCATGCTGCTCGCAACAGGGGTCCAAAGTAATGCCCCTTCGTTTCAAGTGACCAGAAGTAAATAGGCACCCCCAGCTCTGTTTTAGGGGGAAATGTCAGCAGAAGTGCAGATTTCCTATCCAATCATGCGAACGGGTGACTAACGCAGCTGCACAGCAAATGGTACGGAGAGCTCCGCCGACTCTGAACCACCGAGAAGCCCTTTGTTGGGAAGAACTTTCTGGAGGCGCACTTGGACGTTTAATGGCAAAGCAAAGCAGGGACACGCTCAAACCAGCCGCAGGGCAAGTGGGTGGTCTGGGGTAAAAATGACCCTTGCCGATCCCGTTCCAGTGCCCCAGATCAAAACCACGACTGCTCCCTGACACACACACACACACACACACACACACACACACACAACTTCTCTGTCTTCAGCAATTGCCTTATCCATTTCAACTGAATTGGATTTCACATCTGTGCCTGGATGGAGCTACACTTTTTCAAATGAACACGCAAGCTTTTAGGGGGGCAGGATAAATGCGCTGGAGCCTTTGGGCCTGCAAGAGATCAATTTGTGCAACTTTGATTTGTTCTTGTTTTAAAACATTGATAACCTACCTTTCCTAAAACATTCGTGGTGGGTAACAAAAAAATGGAGAACATAAACATACTGCAGAAAGATATAAACTGTGATAAAAGCACCACTGGAGGAGCTGCCTAAAAGTATGAACAGAGGGGCCATTAACGCAGCGTCCTCTTCCAATGCTTCTTCTAGTTTGACTTTTAATTTGTGTTCCACACAATAACTGACTTTCCAAATATTTGCTCAGGAAAACTCAAGAGCATGAACAAAAACTTAGGCAGAAAGGTCATTATTAATTGTTAGTAATTTCATTTCTATACCATCCCACAGTGGCAGATAACCTAGGTACATTTAGGGAGTTCCTTTACCTTTTAAAAATGAAAGAAAGAAAATTCAGAGAGGAAGAAGGGAAAGGGACAGGACAGAAGGCGAACAAATCGTCTCTTTCATTGCTTCCTAAAGAAAATCAAGCACGAAAAACCAGAATTGAAGTCGGAACTGTCATGTGAACCAATTGTCACATCGCTGGCAGGTTTATGCACACGCTGTCAGGAGAGATAGAGGCAGGATCTAAGAATGCCACACAGCTGTCATTTCCTGTTAATGGCTCTGGCACTCATGACTGTAAAAGCCAGTGGCTTTTATTGCTTCACAACGGAGGGGATTTATGGTAGTTTCGTTCACCCGGTGAAAGCTAGTGATAGCGATAATGTATGGCAGAACACTTGTCCTTTCCGACAGGCCCAGTAATTTAATCCCCCTCTCCTGCCACAGAAGGCAATAAGAAAGACTTCTCGACCAGCGGAGAGGGTAAAGCCATGGACCGACACATATCTATTGATGCGCCCAGAAAGGGAAGCACCCTGCCCCCTGCAATCAGGTTCCACTGTTGACTCCATTTTTCCAGCACTGCAGGTGAATACCTGCAGTCACTAATCAAAGCGGTACGGAAGAGTTTGGTGCAGGATTCAAAAAAGACTCTGTCGTCACCACGACCGCAGGGAAACGAAAGGAGAAGCGCATGGACCTGCCAGCCTTTGCTATGAAAGCTACGATCAAGCAAGCGCCCAGTTCGAATTTCGCTTTGGCTACGAATTCGTGTGGCCAGTCTCTCTGAGCTTGGGCAAATGCGAAGATTAATATTCTGCTGATTATTTCCACCTTGCTTTTCTACCTACCCGCCGCAAGAGAACATTCAAAGTGGCTAACTGAGAGAGAGATAAAATGCATCCAGAAAAAAACCTCATCAATAACTAATCTGAAATACCAAGATTAGGCATTAAAGCATGATCTCAAAACAGACAACAATAATGTTTGGATTTGTTTTAAAGGTCTTTGGTAATAGTCTAAAAAGCTGTTTACCGTGGAAAGCTTAACTGACAGGAAGTTCCACAGGCTCACTCTAGCCTCCGAAAATGCCAACACATGAGAGTGGTGGAGAAATCTAAACCTTTCCTCCTCCTTAAAGAGAAGTTCTAATTAAACTTGGTCCAGAAGACCAGATGTTTCAATTGGATCAAGAGTCCCTATTAACTATTTATCAAGCACTTTGCACATGCAAAGCACATGACCCTTGGTTCAGTCTTCGACCCCAGTGAACTAGGCGTTACCAGCATGGGCGAGGAGAAGAACCAAGAATGAGGGAGGACTCCTTGCTGTAGCTGATGGCGGTGATGTCTGGCAAAGTCAGGTGGTTTCTTGGGGTCTGTGAATGGCGAAGCGATGGCTCTAGCCGCCTGCCACATGCTGCTTCTGTACACCAAAGGAGGTTGATCAAGCATCATCACATGAATGGTATGCGCCTCTCCTCTCCTCTCCACTCCACCCACTCTCGGTTAACTTTTCTCCACCACCCCACCAGTACATCTCCTTACCACTTCCCTAAACCTACTAAGAAAGTCCACTTCAGGTCCAGTCACTCGCCATCTTTCAGACATTATGCTGTCTACTCGGGGAATGGACCATTGTTAGATATTAGAAGAAACAGAACAATACTGTGAAATAGCGCTTCATTTTACTGCTGTCTGTATTTCTGGAGCCTTCATAATGTTGCTGTATCCAAGCGTGAGGGCAAGAAACGCACTTCGTTTTCCTTTTTCAACACGGAAAGCTAGCATTTTCTCCATGTGGGTGACACAATCTGCTCCCCATTTTGAATCCAGTACTGAACACAGAAAAATACTTTTAAAGAAGTTTCTACTGTATGTACCTTATAAAATCTCTTTTGTCTGTCATACTATTCTGAATCCAAATGGTATCTAGCCATTGATTCGCTCTCCCTTTTTTTCCCCTTCAATGGCCTTAGGTAACTACAATTTGTCCAAATAATCAACTACTCACTCCTTGGAGCTAAAGGCTTCTGATCTCTATATAAGTCTCATAAAAAACTTTGGAAGATTTCATTAATCTTTCCCCTTTCTATTGTCAATTCCCGAGCAGGTTTATATACAGCCAAGATAACATTCTTTAGGGCTGCGATCATTAATCTTATTTCCAGTCTCTTTTCTTGCCTTCTCAGCATTCTCGTGGCAATATTCTTTCAGCCCTATGAAATATAAATGCTATTTCCTTGTTATCAGTGTCTATCAACTGAACTTAATCTTTGTTATTTCAATTATGGTGGCCTTGTCCGGGAAGGGGGGGAAAAATCATTTTGTCAAGGTGAAATTAAGAGACGACCCCTGCGCTGTAACTATCTATTCCAAGTTTGAGAAAGTAGAGGACCTGCTTGCTTGCATCTACCATAGCCTTAGAATTATTGCTAGGTACAATTTGAAAACATGAGCTTGACACAACGGCCTGCCTGCTGTCACATTCCCACGCCGCTGCTGAGAGAGCAAACTCTTTTAAGGCCCTAGTTGCAGTGGCAGCTCCAGGTTCTGGAGAACCTTCAGGCAAGACAGCCTCCATGGCTTCATTAAGCCATGCTCTCTGCAACTCCCTGTTTTCACTGTTGCTACCATGAGCGACTTTTGCATCTTCATGAGTCTATGCCTGCTTGTCTATGAAGTAGAGGGTTGGCAAGCCAGTGGACATGAACCTGCTGCTCCTTCGCATCACCCTGAGTGTCTGGGCAGGCCGAGAGGTAGAGGAACAACCAGGCTGCAATGCTGAAGAAAAGAAGCAAGTCCAGGCAGCTCCGATCAGAAGGCCCCAACTAGGGTAGAGTCCTTGGGAGGTGTCCCACCATGCTCATGTTTGACACCAAGCCTGCCTATTTGGACTGGCGTCACGCAGGTTAACTCTGTGAACGTGAGGCTGAGATCCAACAAGCTGGACTGCCAAGGGCCAAGCTGAGCTCCACCGCCACTGGTGGAGAGAGGGAACAGCAAGGCAAGTTTCCTGCAAAACCACAAAGTCAGACTTTCCTAAAAAGGGAAGAAAAGCAGAACCATGAGGCTCATTTGCCGTGAGATAAAATATGTACGTGCCACTAAGAAACCTGAGCTCTCGTCTTCTTCTCTTCCAGCCTGCCATATTCCAAAATACAGTTTATAACCAATTGTTGTTGCATGCCTCCTCTGGTCACTTCACTTGCATTCATGAGGCTGTGTCACCACTTGAAAAACAATGCAGCCATTCAGTGGGTTTTGTGCAGAGAAAGGTTTATGCACAGGATGAGCCTTGCAGAATGTTGGGTTCCTCCTTCGGGTGGTTCAAGGGAAGCACAACTGCTCCATTCCTAGGTTATCTGCAAACCCTCACTGGGTTTAAGCAACCTGAACTCCTTCGGGGTCACGAGTCTCAGGCTTCAGAATGTGCTGAGCTACTCCTAGCGTTGGCTGGGAATGGCAGAGAGTATAATCTTCCAGACGCAGGGCCAGTTTGGATGCAGAGCGGGAAGCTGGAGGAGGGGATCCTCATGGGCCCTGTCACACATGACCACCGCCGAGCATTCCGCTTCCCCTCTTCCATACAGGTGCACCATATCCACCTTCACCTTGTTCTCCTAGAGCTGTCCAATCGGACAGCGAACCTGGGGCAGCCTCACGCAAGGTGGGATGCGGGATGGGTAGGTTTTCATCACTCTTATTTAAGGGGAAGAATAAACACGCTGGAGTTACACCTGTCACCTTAGTAGTTGTGCCTTTTCCATCTTTCCTCGGTTTTTCTTAATACGGAACTACAACAAAGATTATTCTTGACTGGGACAATGATCACATCTTATGTTTCTAAAAAGGTTGTTTCCACGAGTGGGGAAGTCTATATTGAAAAAAAAGGAATTAAAGGATAATCTGGATCCTTTATATCATAATAACAAGATTTAATTGATTAATTGTAAAACTACCTTGCTCCTACCTATAGATTAAAATATATATGTATATATCACAAGCTTGGGGGATTGAAAGCACTAAATCATTACCAATAAGTGTTGCTTATTATGCCAGAATTCCAAGAGATCTCTTTGTCTCAGCTAAGATGTAAAGCAGTTTTTTAAAAAAAAGTCAGTCATGGTGCTAAGATATAAATATAATAAGAGAACTCAATAAAAAAGGTATTATTTACCAAGAAATAATGATTTCTCAAATTACATCTGGATTTATCATGGTTTTTTCATACAAAATCCAAGGGACTACTAGTTTCCCTCTAAGCTCAAAGTACACTTCCTTCCCAATCACATAAATCTCGGTTTTATTAAAGAAAATATTCAATTAACCCCAAATATTCTACATACCCAAATCTAATTAGGCATGAATAAGAAATGGAGTAAAGCTATAGTAAACACACACACATTCTGACTTCATTACTATTAGATTATGGCTTTTTCGCTGACATTATCAAACAGCAAATTCATTAGGACATTTTCTGAAATGGTGTTCCCTTACAAGCAAAGCTGGGACCAAGGAAAAATTAGACGGCCAGTTGTTTGAGTAAGACGCCCGGAAAAACAAAGCAACCAGGCTGGCAAAACAATTCTCAGTTGTAACTGTGTGGCAATTTTATTTAAAAAATATATATATCCCTGGAGAGAGAAAGTAACACATTCTTAGCCAAAAGACTGATTACACAAAAGAATTAAATTCCAGGTTGCCAAATAACCCGTCCCTGATGGAAAGATGGTGCACCAGATGTAAAAAGCCAGCAAAGGTCCCTGCTAAGTCAAAAGATGCTTAAATAATCACAGTTTTTGATTAAACCAGGGTCCTTTTTTCATGTGCTATGCAGTCTGTGTACAAGTAGTTAAGTGTAGAAATCCTGGAATGATGCCACAATCATTAAACAACAATATAATTGGATAGTCAGAAAAGTGCCACTACCAATAGAGAGAACTGAGAACACCAAAGGAAAGGAACATCTGAACTTACTGTAAATTTCCTCTTTCATAACAAACAGCAATTATTTTGCTTTTTTTAACAGTATTCTGTATTCCTATAAACTGCGGTAAATCAATGTTTAGGACAGAAAAATAATTTGCCAGCTCAGTGGTACGATTCAAGAAGTTGCCATGGCCTTTCAGATTGACCTGGAATAACTGCTAGTGGGATGCAGCTGATCGGGCCGGCGTTGTTTGACGGCTCCCAACAGCGAGAAACGCTACGGCAAACTGCAACCGCACATCATGGACCTGTTTCCAGAACAGAGGTCTGAGGTGGTTTTTTAGCTGCAGATCCGGAAGGCGACTTGGCTACTGCCCTCCGTGCCTCATGCCTGGCAACACCCTTCCGGCACGGGGTCGTGACTGCAGTGAGGTAGGACGCCACCCTCGCTGGACCAGAGCTAGCTGTTCTGTGCTCTACATTGTTCCAGACTGGCTTACAGCCCCCCAACTGATGTCCATCAGAAGATTTTGGATCACAGCTTCCTGGCCAGAGTGGCTGGGGATGAATGACAGGGGCTGAAGCCCCAAACATCTGTGGGGCACCAGGTTAGGGAGGGCTGATTTATGGATGTGCTGCTTGGAAACAGAGCCAAATCCCCCAGCTCATCAGGGCACATATTTTAAACGTATTGCTGCACCATCTGGATGCCACTATCTATTTTTATTTAACCTTCTCCTTGTGGTTTTGCTCCCCATTGTGCAGCCTGACGCAGAGCAGAACCAACTCTGCCTCTGTGTAGGATACCCAGTCCATCTGGGCATGTGTCTGTTTGGGATGCCCTTCTGACAGCAAGCCCCCACCCGCCCCCCCGCCAAAGATCTGGCTGGGGGGCGTCTCAAAGTGGTACTGTGTGCCTGCACAAGTGGGATTTTCTGCTCCTTCTGAATTTTATTTTTTGTATATTTTAAATTAAAAGACAACAAGGAAGGAGACTGGCTTATCCCTCTGTAAGTACCTCAAAGGCTGTCACAGAGAGGAAGGTCAAGATCTCTTCTTGCTGATGCCGGAGTGTAGGACATGGAATAATCAATTCAAGTTGCGACAACCCAGATTCAGGCTGGGCACAGTCAGAGCAACACTGCAGTGGGACCAGCTGCCTGGAGAGGCAGTGTGCTCTCCCACACTACAGACCTTCAAAAAGCAACTGGACAGCCACCTGAGTGGGATGGTGTGACCCGGTGTCCTGCAACAGCAGGGGGCTGGACCCGATGGCCTTCATGGCCCCTTCCTACTCTTCTGCCATTCTATGATTCTTGCTTGGCTTCCAAAGAGCGGTTTTGCGGTGTTCTGGAGCAGAGGTATGCTAGGCATACATCCCAGAGAACACAGAAACAGGTTAAACAGACTGTCTAGAAGCAAGTAACCTGGAATAGGGATGTGTTCAGGAGTTACCTCATTTTAAAGTGGACATGTGAACTAGGTTTGACATGGAGTGATAAAATGATGTAAACAAACAAGCAAGCAAACGGGTTAGCATGCCACATAAAAAGAGCGGTTCTCCACCAGTTCAAGTGAAAACTTTGAAGTGCTAAACGGAGGAATGTAATGAGGGACTGCTCCATTTTGGAGGAAAGATTTAAGAAAGCTGAAAATGCACATTCCTTCTTTCAAATCTGAACATTGAAATCATAAATCTAGAGATGTATGATTGATTCACGAAGCCTTTTTATAATGCCTGGAAAAATGCATGCCATTATAATAACTGGTGTTGGCCAATAATGAGTGTACTCCCACTTGCATCTTCAGACACTGAAAACACACGGAATGGGTAGAATGCAATGAAATAAACAGAAAAGTTACTGACAACAACAGAGGGATGAGTTATTGACTGATAATTAAAAAAATGAATAAACTGGCAATTGGGGCAATATTTTGTGTTCCAAGGACACATGCAAGTTTAACTATAAACTTTCTTATGGGAAGAATCCGAATGTTGAGTTTAGTGCAATCCACTGAGTTCATTAATCCACAGATGTTTTCTCTATTTTACTGCATGACAATGTGCCATCAAAATTTATTACTGCCTGGCATAAGAAACAGCACTCATCTGCTTCAATGCAACACTCTAACATTACATATAAAAATGATTTGGACATACAACCTGCCAAGTGCCAGAAAAACTGAGCCTCTCTGTTTGCTCGCCTCGTCGTTCTACAAAACCTGGGCTCATGATTTAAAATCACAAATAATCCAAGTTGGCCGCGGTTCTTGGGGACATGTGGAATGCCCATTGACACAGTGATGGTGCAATTGATGCTTATTCTTAATAGAGACCTTATCCTGCAATTAAAGGTTGCGGGGCAAATATTGGCATTTGTGCAAATTGGAAAACCTTAAGTCTGAAGTGCCTTAATTCCTTGCCTTTCTTTCCAGGTGATTTTGGGCCAGTAACTGCCTCCTGGCCTAGCCCAGCTCCCAGGGCTGATGGAGGGGTGGAGGATCAAGTGAGCCACTTGGGAATTCTTGCAAGCAGGAAGAAGGTGGGGAAAATGCAATGCAATAATAAGAAAACTGCTTCCAGCCTAGCAATGATGAGGTGACACGAGGAACCGACAAGATCCTAATCTGGCTCTACAGAACTGCCTTGCCTCTTCAGCATTCTAATCCGGCTCAGCTGCTCAGTCTCCACAATTTTTTCCTTGGCCACAGATAAAGCCGCTTATTTTTTTCAATGACCCATTTGTTCCTGGGTTCCAAAACCTGTGAAACTAGTTGCTTGCTTCCCAGCCATCAGTCTTGACATCAAGTTCCTGTTCTGGCTGAAGCTTGAGGCTTCCTGGGGGCAGTGGGTTGGCTGATGTGGGAAGCAAGAGGTTGAAAAACACGGAACGGCAATCTGACAGCCATCCCAGTCTCTTGCGAATCCATCCACCCATCCTACTTTTATGCCTCTTAATATCCTAGGAAAAAGGTGCAGGAACTTTAGGAAGAGAAACTAGAAACATTACAATATGGTCCCGAAATGGAGCAGCAGTTCCACACTCCATTCAAAGTCTCAGAAGGGCTATGCAAGCAAATACATCTTAGGAGATGTTTGAAGCTCACCACGCTTTGTGTCTTTCCAGTGGGTGGGTGCCACCACTAAGAAGACCTGCTTGCATGCTGTTCTTGCTAACACTCCGCTGGTCACAGAACAGCCAATAATGTCTCCTTGGAAGAGGCTGGAGCTTGACTGGGAGTGCACGGGAAAGGCAGCCCACTAAGCAGTCCTGCTTCCGAGCATTTAGGGTTTGATGTAACGAAAGCTTGAGCACGATCTGGTTGCTAACAGGCAGCCAGTGAAGCTCTTTTAGCAGATGTGCCATCGATGGCTAGCTGGTATCTTGCCGGACATCGCAGCTGCTGCTTTCTGAACTAGGCACACGGGTTGCCCCACGCAGAGTGCACCCCAACTGTCTAATTGTGAAGTTCGCCAAGACTGGTCCTTCCCTATCCAGCAACGCATTTCAGAGCAGAGTTTGCAAAATGGTACTTTAGACAGGAATCACTTTAACATTGTAGGACATGCACCCAGGGACTTAGAAGCATAACAAAACACTTACTCAAGGAGTACATACCATGGCTGCAATTGTAGCAGATCCACTGCCCGCTTTTGGGTTTCGGGAGCGATACCGGAGTTTCAGCCCGGAAAGTGGAGAGCTTGCACTCCACAAACAACCGTTGTATAGTGTTGTCTCTTGCAATCTGGGAATCTGAGAGGCTGAGTGATACGATTTCAATCCTGATTTTGTCAGCAGACTGTTTAAAACACACCAAAAACACATATATGCTTCTTGTAACTCCAAACTGTCACAACAAAGATGTGCATCATACTAGATGTTTTGGATGATAAAATGTGATTGGCAGTTCCTGACTGAGTTACAAGGTCCTAAGTCCCGGGGGTTTGTGTCAACACTGTTAGCACAAAAGGTGATGGCTTTCTGTTTTATGATGAAAATAATCTTTCCAAAGCAAGTGAAGGTTTTATATCATTTACAGCTGGCTAGGTAAATGTTCTAAATATCCATTCTTTGCTTAAGGACCTGCCCTTTCCCAGTTAGTTACTCTTCAATTCCCACTCATCACTGTCTAATCTGCTGAATGATATCACACCTCAGTTTCTTGTTTAATAAATGGTTTGGTTTATTAAATCAATCATCTCCTCTGAATTGTAGTTCTATTCAACTGTTTTGTTTTGATTTCTTTCTTGCTGTCATCACAAATGCACTTACTTGATAGACATCTGCCAAGTGGTTTTAAATGGGCCACGGCATAGGCAAACCATTTTTAATGAATTAGCTCAGATATTACATACATAAGCCCCCTCCTCCTGCCTCATCTCACATAGGTGGGATAGACTAGAATCATCCACTTTGGTTTCAGTGCATCCAAACAGTCACGTTGTCCAAATGAGAAAAGTAATCAGTTTTAGCTAATGTTTAATTGAACAAGCCAGGATCAGAAACCACAATCTGATCTTGGCTTGTTTTGCCAAACTAAAATGAAACACAGTTTGTCTTTGTTTGAATAGAACACAACAGTAGTAGAGTTGGAAGGGGCTTATAAGGCCACTGAGTCCACCCTCTGCTCTAGATGTGGTCACCCATCTGACTGCAGGCCCATGCCTTTCCAGCTTAGCAAAGATGACCTGACATGCTAGCTAGTGGTAAAGCTATGCAAGCAGTCAAAATGCTGCAAATGGAACTTGGTACATTTGATCTTATTGTTCAGTGTCTAATGTGTCCAAGATTAACCACAAGATGACTTTCCTTGGCAGTTTCTACATGGCATGAATATACCCTTTCATGTCTATGTTCTGGAAAGGCCTGGCATTCTAAGCATGTAATCCAGGTTTGAGAATTGCTGCCAACCAGGACTTTTCAGTGTTTCCAACACATATCCCAAACATTTGGAAAGATATATTTCTTCCTCACATCTGCTCCAATGCACCATCAATGCAGAATGAAGTTCTGAGACTTTGGGATTTTCTGGATGAAGTAAATCAACTAATTTCATGGGGGCCATATGTTAATAAACCTGCTTCACCAGGTGAAGGGGAAAAACCAGTTCATGGTGACTTCTCTCCATGTCAAAAATGTGGATGTGAACTGAACCCTATCCAGCTGGTTTATGGTTTGAAATGCTCTGTGCCCTTATTTGAAAGGGGATTCATGTCAGATATGTTAGTAGAGAAACATTCTCCTGAATGAGTCACTGATTTCAAAGAATGCATAACCACTGTGATTTCAAAATTAGACTACACAGAAGAACATCCAAGAGAAGAGATTCAACTCTTCAAAGAGCGAGCCAAGCACCTTGCAGATCTCAACTGTCAAGTTGTTCTTAACTCTTCCCTTTATAGTTCATCCTCCACATTAAAGACTATTTCACCAGTGTGGAATCTGAAGGCTTTCTGGTTGTAAATTCAAAACACTAACCTTGCAGTAATAATTACAGAATTAAAATAACAAAAAAGGGAATTCAGTTTCGAGAGGCTGGCATTCAAACTGTAAATCAATACAATATTCAAGTTCAACATGGCAATGGATGTGTTTTTCAAAGGAATATTCTATAATTAATCAATTGAAAAGCCTCCACTATCCCACAGTAAATAAATATATATCCTTCATAAAGAACAATACTCATTGCTGTCAACCTCCTTCAATATTTTATGAAGTAACTTTACCCCCACCCTTTTCAAAAGGCATTTTCTTTTATTATGTATCCTAAGACACCTTAACTAAAAACCCAAATCTGAATATTTCAATAAGGTTGTTTTATTATTCAGTAGATTCATGGAAATTTTACTAGGATGACAGAGAAAATTCCACACCATTCTGTCTCCACTAATACAGGTACACGGCTTCAGCTGGCAATATTACTAGGATTAGCATAGTATGATGAAATATTTAAAGGAATTTTTTTCTAAAAACCTAATAAATCAAATGACTGCCAAATGTCATTAAAGTGATGGTCTTTGACTTGAATATGCTTTTCATATTCAAATTTGAAAGAAAGAGATGAAAGCCTGGAAAAGGTTACTCAGTTTCAACTAATAACCTCAAGCACTCTACATTCACATGCATAAAAAATGAAATTGCCTCTATTGTCTAATTTTACTTTAGAAACAAACTCCTTTCTGCTTCCACTGTATAGATATATTAGAAGTATTTTTAAGTGATATTCAGAGTAATTTCCCCTCCAAATATTTAACTGGGCTGTCAAAACCAGCTCCTGCCTACATGGCAGTTGACGAACAGAGTCCAAAGGTAGAATGCCTATGTAGCAGACCTTCTTAAACACATGAGGGTGGGGAAATTAGGTATTTCTTTTCTTTGCTGTCATGGAACAGTGGGCAAGATAGATAGTTAAGTGGATTCCATGGGGTTGGATGGCATGCCCAGCCCAGAATCTGTAATGTAAACTTTGATCATGATGCCAAGGAACTGAGCCCAGCCCTCTGTAGAAACATCTCAAGAAGGTCTGGGAACTGATTCTGACTCTGTCTGGAGGAAGAGGGAAGAGTCTGCCAAGGCCGAAGGAGTATGAGATGGGTGAGAATACTGTGATAATTAGGAGGCTCTTCTAGATCCATGGGAATCCAGACCTCTAGCAAAAGGGGGGGGGGGAGCATTGGGAACAAGAGAAGCAAGAGCCAGGTGTTTGATGAAGAGAGAGGAACAACCATTCTGAGCAAGGATGCCACCACATGGAAAGACCCACCCAAGGAGTGGGCTTGGTAGCCTGCCTGCCTTGAAGAGAAACGGTTGTAATCTTCCGAACGAATTCATGACCCCTTTCATGTGTGATGCTTTAACCTGGAAAAACTGCTGGGGCTTAGAGGATGAGAATCAAGATATGCTGGCTTTGGTCCATTGTCTTCTTCAATTGTATGGAGAGTATGGCCTACACCATGAAGCTCGGCTTGCTTGTCTGAAGTTGCTCTGTAATAAAAGTGAATTAGCTACACTTGATCTGTCTACTGAATCTGACTACAGGTAGGGGAGGACCAGAACATTCTGGAACTGTTCTCTCTTCATCACGCCAACCTGCCTGCTCACCTGTCACTCTCTTTCTGATGCGGACAATAGCACTGGTGTCAAGTGAGGAGCAAGAGTAGGCATGACCTGGAAGATGAGAAGGGATAACCACTAGTGGTAAAGATGCTGTGATTATAAAGGTAGAGTTACGGAGGGAGGGAGACATTGTTTCTTGCTGAAGGGACTTGGGAAGACTGACACAGAGCTATTCTGAAGTTCCTGACCGCCACACAACCGTGTGGAAGGGGACTTCTCAAAGGGATGCATCAAGGGGAGCAGGGGACTGTCGGGAGCAGGGGAGAAACCATGTCTTGGTGCCACTGCACATGTGTTGCTTGCATCTTCAGGTAAGGCTGAGCAAATCTCCTGTCTGAGTCACTGCTAGTCAGAATACTGAATGAGACGGAGCAGATATCTGACCAGGACAGCCTCCTGTGTCCAAAGCAGCTTCAGACCTGCTGAGCAGCTTCCTTTTCTCTGTCCTGCATCTCTCCCCTTTCACCTTCTTGGAATCCTTTCCAGTTCAGGTGCTATGAGAAAGGGAGAGAAACCAGTCCCTTTCAACTTTCTCCACGCCGTTCCTGTGTTCATGGCCATCTTGTTTCCCTTAATATGCCACACTGCGTTAGGAAAAGTTAAATTTTTTAAGGACCAGGTAAGCAAAAAGGTTCTCATATGGTACCAGAATAATATACTTGAGTTTCGCCTGACATATGGGATGCAAGATATTGCCAAGGTATGCCCAGGTACCATAGAAGAGCTTTTCAATGATAAAGAATTAGCAGGGTCTTCCTTTTTCACATGGCTGCACCTGTGCCTCCCTGAGCATCTTCAGCAGTGATGGAAGGTATAGGAGCTGCCCCTTTTAGCAGGACAAACCAGGCCATGAATAGGTGTAGGGGGTTTAGCAATGGCTCACTTAATGTGACGGGTGGGGGAGAGGATCCTTAACATACTTCAAAGCAAGCCCAAGAGAACCTCTTAGAAAGGACGATTTTAAAAGTAACCTTTCAACACATGTTTTAAATGAATTTATTCCCTTAAGTTGGATGATGATCCTCTTTGCACACCTTTAGGCTAGGCAGGTTGGGCAGATTTTGACAGGTGATTTTTAAAAGTCACACCCAAAAAGAGCTCGGTGACTCCCCACCTGTAGGACCTCTGATTTTACTGATTTTAACTTGCTTTTCCGTTTTTCCCCTTCTTTTTCTTTTACAGTATATGGTTCCCTACAGTAGATATGCAGCCACCTGAAAGAGCTGCCTGGTGCTCTTTTGAGACTGTGGGATGTCAAAATTAATTAAGAACCCTAAGATCTTAATTTAAAGAGAGTGATTATGACAGTTTTCACTAAACTGCTATTAGTGCAAGAAAAGCACAAAAAGACTATCTATAATGAAGGAGAAAAGATGTAAACACACCTAGAGGAAAATGAGACCACCATGGAATAAATTGGTTTTGCTAAGATTTGCCTTGTGGGCACATTTTCAGATAACTTGAGAAATGACAGCAGTAAAATTTTATTGTGATAATTGAAAGTTATATTATTACTCAGAAATGATCAAGTGCGGAAGTGTAGAGATAAGAACAAGCAATTGTTAATTTTATTTTATTTCTGGTTTCTGTGTTGCACAAGCAAATGCAACTCTCCAGTTCTGATGTCTGTTTGGAAAGTCTGTAACAAGGCTTTTAATCAACGTATTATACATCAAATTGATAATGTTAACTTCTGATTATTCAAATGTATGAAATATTCATAAAGAACTGTCCAAAGTTTTACATTTCCCTGATTTCCCCCCTCCCCCTTCAATTAATTATCATGCCTAGAAGCTTTTTTAGCAAAAGCACCAGTCGTCAACTTGACTCAACCTGACAAGGCAGCAAGCCCCAATTACATTGCCACTCTGTGGCACTTTGATGTAGTGGAAACGAAGAGAGATAGGGGCAAATTGTATAGCACATTATGTTAATGACATGATTTAATCCAGCCGCTAAACTTTATGTAGCCTGTTAAAAAAGATGCTAACACTAATTACGCCACTTTGGAAAGGAAAAAGAAGGGGACAAGCATTTCCTACCGACAAAGCGAAGCTCATAAATGTTGTAAATGCAATGAAACAAAATGAAGTAATCTATGATTAATTATACATAACCGACAAGAAAAAGAGAAAAAGCAAGTTGTATCGCTAAATCCTGGGGAAAGAAAGTGTTAAGATTCCTTTTCTGATCAACATATCTAAGAAATAAGCATGGACTGTCTGATTTGCAACCTGTAAGAAAGGAACAGCATAATCCAAAGTGGCAGAAACGATGTAGTGTGTGGTTTCGGATTCACAGGGATAATTAGCAAAGCAATCTCTAAATAAAATCAGAAATTATGTTTACAGTGTTTGGATAGCTGTGGGGATATTTATCTTGATGATAAAAAAGAAGTTAGATCTTGAACAAGAGACTCCGCTTCATTTTTCTCCTAAAGCTGGGTATTTATGTATGTAGAGATTCTGATCTTAGCGGTGATGGCCTAAACGGTGCTGAAATATACAGGCTGGGCCTGTAAGTCAAGCAGCAAGTCTTATAAGCACTTTTGCAACTTCAAAGCAGTGATTGTAGCTCAGTAGCATTGATGTGAAGTTATTTCTCCTTTAAAACACACACAAGAGTTCTTGGGAACTGCTAGTAATTAAACCATATTGGTGTCATTTTTTTTTCTTTTTTTTTACAGTGGCTATATGCCACCTTGGGAAAACTTTTGTGCTTTGTTGTAAAGGTGGCATAAAAATGCTTCAAATATCTGTTAAAGAGGGCAGGCACTGGGTAGCAATTGCTGCTGCTGGAAAGTTCCGGATGCATGCAAATTTCGACGCAAACAAAGAATGGCTGGACCATGCAGAAGAACCCAGTCAGCTCCCCGCATTTCAGAATTCTTCTTCTGTTTGCGTTCACTCGCAGATCGAGTCATCAATTGCTGTTGGTTTTTTTTTTTTTTATTATTATTATTATAACATTTCTATGCCGCCCCTTGCCGAAACCTCGGGGCGGCTTACAACATGATAAAATACATTGAAATACAATAGTACATAATTGTTTAAAATTGCTTTTAGCTGTGTGTGTGTCTCTATGCCGTCTGCTATATGTCTGCATGCTTATGGTTTTCATAATGTATTTTAAAGTTTTTAATTTTGGTAACCAGCCCAGAGAGATTTCGCTATTGGGCGGTAGAGAGAAGTAATTGGTGGAATGATGTCAAGCATGTTTAGGTCCTATTGATTTCAGAAAGTAGAGCTGAAGCACAATTTTCATATTGACTGAAAGCAGTGAGATGTGGTTGACTTGGCCTGGATCATTCCCATTCATCTGACGTGAACTGCGCATGGTCAAGGGGAGTCACTGTCTTGTCATGACCCTAGTCTGCCGGCTGCCTGCACGGGAGGGAACCCCTGTGTATGAATGGCTGCCTCCATTCGCAGGGATTGAACGCATCTGTTTTCCTTTGGACAATACCCAAGGACAGGGTCATGCGGAAAGAATATCAGCAGCTTCGTTAACAAATGGTGCAGGCACCACCTTCCTGCCACACCTCGGGAGGCTGGTTTGCTCCCAACGTTGCGGTCAGTGGGGCTCCCGGAGCTCCCCGGGAGAGTTTAACTCTGCCCCATGGCACCGTTGCTGCTTTACCTCGTGAGAAGATGAGTGGGAAAGATAAAAAATACCAGCTCTGCAGGCTAACCTTTTTGAGGCGGCGAGATATTTCAAGTCTTCTTAAATCATCTGGTTGTAACAGAGTGCAACAACACTAGAGATTTGTAGACCCATCTCCATTTTTGCAGGGCTCATTGGCAATGAATAATTTTCCTATTTGGCTTGCATTGTTACAGCTTAAAAGAATTTGATGGCCCTGAATATGCCGTTAATCATAATACAGTTCCACCTATTAAAATAATTTCTCTCTCTCTCTCATTTGGATAGGTGGCAGCATTTCAAAATCCCGGATAGAATGATGAATCGCTACGAATCCAATCAAGCACAAAACATTGCTTAATGTAGCTGGTTACATTCTAAGATGTCGCGCATGCATTACTTTTGGAGCCAGCGTCTGGATGCTATGATCAGGCTTGTATTGATTGTAAAAGAAGACGGAGCAGCACGGGGCGAACTGCCTTACACAATTTGTCGTTGTTGTGTGTTGTGTCGGCTCCACCTTATGGCGACCCTTTGCAGGAGTGTCCTTCGAAACACCTTATCCCTCACAGCCTTGCTCAGCAACAGTAAATGCCTGACTGTGGCTTTTGGGAGTCAACCCACCTCCCCATCTGTTCTTCCCCTTCCTCTTCTGCCTCTGACTTTTCCTAGCCTGATTGTCTTCCCTAGCGAGTCCTCTCATGTTGTAGGACAGCTTCCATGTAGTCGTTTTTCTGCCGAACTCACACAATACCTTCCCCCAAACAAGAGCACACGCCCTGCTGATGCTCCTGTACTCAGGTAAGCTTCCCAAATGGCTAGAGAAAATGCACATCCTTCGTGTAATTTTGGAGCGGTGCTGGGGAAGGCGTGGTCCTCCAGAGATAGCTGAACTTCACTGCCCATCATCCCTGACTACCGGCCATGCTGGCTGAGGTTCATGGGAGCTACAGTATCCGGAGCACCAAATGTTCCTCACAACTGCTTTAGAGCCATAATGGCTGAGGGTGATAGGAGCTATGGGAGGCAGGGAGCAAAACTTAATTAAAAAATGAGATTTGAGGAGACTGTCAGACTTGCCTGTGTAAAGTAACTAACCTGATTACGGCTTGTGGATACTGAAGATGGAACGATGCAGTCATCGCTATCTATTATAGATTCGGCTGCATCCGTTGTCTGTCTCTCTTCTTGGTCTTGTTCTGTTACAAAAAATAATTGGAATGGAAAGCAGACAAAACAAAAATAAGCAGTGCTGAGCCTGGCTGGGGCTGTTAGGCAAAACTGTTTAGCCACGTAGTAGAAAACTGAATGAAGATAGTTTAACGTGTCAGTGAACAATTGCTCTTTCTCTTCCTTGCAGACAAAACGTGACACGGGGCCAATCAATGATCATTAAATGGTCTGCGGAGTCATCCGATTTCTCTGCAGGGCTCGTTTCGCTTTGATTTGGCACTTGGACAGGTGCAGTATTACCAATTCACTCGTGGTAAGAGAATATTTTAAAAACCTGAAGGTTTATTATGAATCCTTAAGCTGCATTGAACTGTGCCGATTACCTCCGCTGAGACTACGGAAGCAATCCCCTGGCCCCTGGACATTGCGAGCTGGTGGTGGCGATGGATAGGGTACTCTGAGTTCTCTGGTCTGATTTTGGGACTAGGAATCCACATTGCATCCGCCCCCACCCGCCAGGGCCAGCAGAGAAAGGATTGTTTTGGCTGCCCCGCTCAGGTCAGGAAAATAAGAAGGGCAAGACCTGAAGTGCCCTGAATACTCAAATATTTTAAAGTTCTTACTGCCAGTAACTAAGGTTTTGGAAAACAACTGCTAGAAATCTGGGAAATAAGCAATGAGTTGACGGTTGGTGGAAAGGGGAGGGGCCAAGGAAGGGGGTGTGGCCTTACAGGGAAGTCCACGAGGCCAAATGGTGACCCCTGAGGGCTGCATTTGTTCCTGGATCTATTGTTCTGCACCCTGATTTAGCACTTGGAAGGTTGGTACAAACAGCTTCGAATTGGACTTGGATGGCACTAGCAGCCAGCACATTCAGACTTTCTGCCCCCTGTCAGCTTCTGGGCAGCCAAATTTTGCATCAGCTTGAATAATTTTCAAAAGCAGCCCCAGATCAAGGGCTTTAAGAACTCCTCTGAGCTCTCCTCCCGCACAGGTATCTATAAAAAAGAACAGTGTCCGTGTGATCTGGGATCTTTATGTTCTGTGTACTGAGCTACTGCGAACAGCTTTCATCCAGAAATGTGCAAGCAGCCCCATGATAGCCTTATTGTCTGAAACTCCTTCTCTTTCTCCCTTTGACATTATGGGCGGCTGATATCAGCAGACAAAGGGACCACGCGCCTTAAAATATTCTTCAGAACAGCAGACTTCTGAGGGAAGAATCTCTCTTCTGAATAAGAAATACAAAGACATTTTTAAAATAGATGCTCGTTTCCTTTAATATTTTATGGAACCAGGCAGGAGACAGGATCCCCCGCCCCCCTGTTGTAACAATTACTACAAAACTGCAAGTTATTCTTTTAGCCTAATGCACCAACCTAGCCCAACTTGGCTCTCGCTCTCAGAGAGATCAAAACATTGGCCTTTGCTAACACTGCCTCTGCTGTTGACAACATGCGTTTAATAGGGAGAGAAGCAGACATGCAACGTGTAAGCAGATAATTACCTTCTGCTTCCAATTCCTCAGTAATTTCGGTTTCGTCTCCTGAAGTGGACGAGCTCTGGTCAGCAAACTGACCTTCAGAGAGCTGCGAGAGATCCTCGTGTGCTTGCTGAATCTCGGCTGTGGATTTGCTGGTTCCGTTTTCTGCTGCCGCTTCTGGCACAGCCTTGAGTAAAAGAAGAATGACTCAGACATTTACGGATGGCATAGTTAGAGCTCTCTGTCCATGTTTATGTGGGGGAGAAGCACAGTGGACATTTAATTTAGCACCGGGGTGGGCAAAATCCTAAATGCAGCACCCACTGCCCATGCCAGATTTGCTGTGGGGTTACTATAATTGAACCGTGGGGTCCCGGAGGGGTTGAAATGGGCCTCTGGAGCCAGGAAGTTGCCCGGCCCTGTTTTACACAAACAAAGGGGGCTTAATCTGTTTTAAAAGGAACTTAAAACCTGTTATTTCAAGGCGCAGTCCGAAGCTACTCAATTTCACAGTTAGGATTTTCATATTTTCTCTGAAAGGGGGTTTGAACTCCAACGAGCGATTTGCACTGGATGGCTGTGATGTGAATATGTTCGAAATCTGTTGAGTCTTAGCAGCAGGTTCGACGCACAGAGGTTTCCAGACCTAAATGCTCACGTTGGGAACGCTTTGTGCTGCAAAGGCAACCTCAAACTTGGACCGTTGCCCGCAGGAGAAGCGCGAAGAAGGCTGAATCCATGAAGTCTAATCTATTTTGGCACTGCACTCTTGGTTCTTTAATACATAACATGACATGTCTCGTAAACCTATATAAAACTGTTCACCAAAGGATTCAATTTGCAATGCTGAGCTTTTTTCTTTTCCTGAAGATTTTCTGCCAGGTGTTTCTAAGCTACTTGTGAGATGAACAGTCCATTGCTGGGGGTCGGAGATGAATTACTTTTTCTCCTTAAATTAAGAGGAACCTGCCAAATAGCTCAACCTTCTTGGTGTATGGTCAGTCCATCACCAGTCCTGCACTGGAGCATACGCTCTGGCTTGCTAGGACGGTTGGGATTCTGCCCTCTGCTCCCTGAATCATGCAGTCACTTGGGACTGGAGCATAATGGATCGCAGAGGGGACTATCTTGATGATACTGGATAATTGCTACTAAACACCCAGACAAAGCATGGCACTATTTGGAAAAAGTCATCTAGCATACATTCCCTGTGCTCAGAGGCAGAACAGAATGGTTTCTAACAATCCCATCAGCTACTCGCAAGATACAGCTTCAAGGCCAAATGGAAATCCCATATTAATGAACTGAATGACTGCACAATCAATTAATGCTTTGAACTCCACATTAAAAAAGAAAGAAATACAGACTAAATTGGTTCAGGACTTGGTGAAATATCAAATTGCATCATACCTGAGGAATGCTTGAAACAATAGCCTTTTCATCTTCAGTGTTCTGCTTGCTCTCTTTATCTTCTTTTTCAGGAATGGGGCTCTTAAATTATTGGGATTAAAATACAGAGAAGAGAAAATGAGATCCTTACACTTTACTTTGGAACAGGCACCACAGTCAATGGGCTCTGTTTTCTGGATGCATTTCTTTTAAATATATTTATACCCCTCTTTTAGGTTAGATACATTCTGAAATGGTAGTCATTTGGTTAAGAAATATACACATCTTTAAATATCACCCAGAGATCTATTAGTTAATCCTAATCAAACTGGAACTGACAAAAGACAGGTTCCAACGCTGTGAAACTTCAGCAGCAGGCACATCTTATTTCTCCAGGTGATTTAATTCAGTTTAATGTTTTCTGCAACACACTACTATTTATTAAAAATATTTTTGCACATTCTCTTTTTTTGTAAAGTACCTTGGAAGCTTTGCTAAATGGCAATATATACACCTATAAATCAAAGAGTTTACATTTTCCTTCTGTGATGGGGCCATGGAAAGAACAACTAATATCTCAGTATGATCTGTCCAAAGCCAGTGCCCACTCATCTTACACTATAGCACGTATCTTCTTGCTGAATGTGCCAAAACAGAATTGGGAGAGCACTGGAGGCTGTTTGTTTGATTACGCTGACCTCTGTTCCCGAACCACTGCTGGCAGGAAAAACCTTAAGGCTAGTGAGACATCACATCGTCACTAGGTAGAAAAGGATACAACTGTTTGAAAAGCCGAGGTTCAAATGTTCGTTTATCTTGTTAAAGAAATGGGCTCAACACACACACACAAGTCCATACTCACTGTAGCTGACAGTGTGGCCACATCTACAAAAGACACTTTCTTGTCCACTGCAGGGAGGCGCTGCCTTGGCTTCGGCTGAGGCCTCTAAGGAACCAAAAGTCAACACAATCGTAAATGAAGTTCCTTAATAATCTGTCCTGGAGTCCCTTTTTTGCAGGTTTTCATACTGACCAACTAGGACTGGGGTCAGAAGCTGAGCACCCCGGAAATTTTGTTTTGCCTCAAAGCAGTAAGCAATTCTGGAATCTATAGTTTTCTGGTCCACCCTATTGAGGGACGATGCATTGGGAACTGCATTTTCCGGAAAGGTCAATGAAGGTAGCAGTGAGCATTCTTAAGAAGCTCTACTGTCACTGGGATTCCTAGGAAATGACGTCCCCAGTGCTTCCTGCTTAATGCAAGGCAGATCCCAGGTGGCCTGGAGGAGCATCCAGACCTTCGGCATGAAAGGCCTCACAGCCGGAATGGCTCCCTCACAAGTTGTGGGTTGGAGATAAGTGTCGGTGGGAGGCTGCTGTGGGGATGGGTAGGCCTCTGGGCCATTTCATACTTCCAATGACATTAAGAGGCATCCATCTCACTTGGACTGAGGCTGAACTTGAAGAAACTAATCCAAGTTCAGTAAGAACTAGGCCTAAATTAGCATGACTGAGGATGAGTGCATCACAAATTAAGTTGAGGGGCAGGAATGAGATCTTATCCATTGAGGATAAGAACTATTATTCTATTTCTACCAATGCTTCCTGGAATGCTGGTTTTTAGATTATTTCTGTTTGTAGCTTGTCTGTGTTTTTTCTAAGAGAGAAGGGGCTCTATGGATGGAGGGAAAACAGATATTTAATCTTGTTTGGAGTAATACAGACTCTAATATATACAAAAGGCTTAGATGATATACCACTGCTGATGGAGAAAAGGAAGGAGCCAAGATTGAACCTTCCCCTTGCCCCTTCACTGGTTTCTCGTTCTGGATGTAAACTCCCAAGTCTGCTGCTACAATCGTTGCAGCTGCTTGAAGGTAGGTGAACTTCCATTTTAGTTCAACAGTAATGGTGCCAGTGGAGCGGCCTTCATAATTCGTTAGTTCAAAGGTACCTGAAAAGCGAGTGCAAATTCATGAGCTTATCTTAGTAATATTCTGGGTGTTGACTAAACAGGTTCTACAATCACTTTCTGAAAGAGCCGAGGCCTTCCCTATTTCATACATATAGGATTACGTATGAAATTATGTATATAATGGGGGCCTTTAGGCTCAACATCCAAAGAAGGCCCCGTGTACAGCATTGCCGCAGGATGGGACCAAAGATAACAGGGCTGAGGCCGAACTACCACCAAAATCTTCAAAATCTTACTGCCCATAACTTGGCCTCCTGATTGGCATTCCCACATTCCTGAATATGGGAAAACCTGACAAAATGGGTGGGGCCAGGGGGGTGTTTGGCAGCTTGGGAAATAGATGGGATTTGTGCTTTCTTGAGCAGCTCTCAGTCATTTCGTCGAAGACCGGAGAGAGAGAAAGCCCATGTGTGGAAGCGATGCAGTAAATTCCAACGCATCCCAGCTTCTACAAGAGGGGTATGTGTTAAAAGTTAACAAAGCAGCAACACACAAACCAAGATTGGTATTTTAAATTAAATCAAGGGTGGAACATGTGTTCCTCCAGATGCTCTTGGGCTGCAATCCCCATCCAATGGCATAGCTTATGGAGAGGAATGATGGGATGCACGGTCTGACAATATTAGAAGACGGGCACGTGTTCCCCACCTGAGTCAAATGCATTGCTTTGAATGGCGAGGGATATACTTGTATACTTCCACAAAAAAGGCACGTTCTTACCTGAAATGTATCTGTCATGAGCTAATGAAATCAAAGGCACATTTGCTTTTCCTATATAAACACCGTCTTCTGTTTCATTGTCGTCAAAAACATACAGGCTCAAGGATTCAGATTTCAGGTAGCGGTCGAGGTCCACATTCATTGGCACCGGGAAGCACATGTGATCAGCAAACTCCGGGCAGTTGCTGCTAGGGATGATGGTGGTGTCATGGTCCGCGAAATCGAAGAACGTGTAGACTACGTAAGGATTTGGCTGGAGGCCGCTCTTTTGGCATGGCAGATTGTTGCAACATTTTATTGTAATGTGGAGCTCGTTTAAGTTCCCATCTGCTGAACTGCTGCCCTGGGCAGGACTGAGCATTGGCTGTTTTAAACAGGAGTGGGGAAAACGCTAATTAATGTCTGTTTGGTTGGCGTACATTTTTTTAATTGCAAGCTGAAATGCACCGAAGGAACAAACTGATGTAAATCCTCCTGATGTTCTGAACCAGGACTGGGGAGAAGAAAAGTCACATCTTTTCTTAGTTCTGCTCATGGGGTGATCCTGGGCCAGGCACATTGTTTTCAATGGACCTTCCCCACAGGGCTGCTGTGAGGATTAAAAGAGAAGAGAGCTACATACACAGCCCTGGAAGAAGGATGGAACAGAAATGCACGGAAACCATCACTGTGGTGAGGATTGCATTCGCTCAACACTGGAAAAGTGAGGAACTACCCACTGATGAACTGATCCTGGACTGTGCAGAAATGGATAGATTGACTTTATCACTGAAGGAGAAAGAAGATACTGACTTCTCTCAAACGTGGGACTTTTTTTATTATTGGTTAGAGAAACGGGACTTGGCATAGATTTAAATATGTTTTTAAGTTATCATAAATGGAAAAAGAAGGATGCGGGGGCTGACCCAGAGGGCTCGATGTTTTTGATGATGGATGTTGTTTGTAGTTTTCTTTTTGTTTTTTAGGATTATAATTTCAAATAAAACTTATTTAAAAAAAAAGAAGTGTATGGAAACCAAGCTGGTGTAGGGAATGTGAAATACTGTTTCTTACTTGGCATGATGGACAAGGCTATATAATGTGCTGGTATCTCTTAGGCTCACTGCTGGGAACACTGCCACTGAAGCAAGCTTAGCCAGGGGAAATCTAGCCCTGCATGGTACTGTCGCCATCTTAAATTCTGAATTCTTCCCCACTTCCTGTGGAATTAGCAGTCCTTTTCCTTTTCTCACCCGTGTTCTTATTATGCAGCTACTAGATCATGCATGGGAACTTTTGTTTTGCCCAAGGGCTGTATCAGGATACCGCTTTGGTCCAAATGACATCAACCCTCTCTCGCAAAGCCCCATTTCTTCCTCAAAGCCATTTATGTCCCTGCCACCACAGAAAAGGTGGCAAACTTGATTGGGCATCTCTAATTTCAGCTCTCATCTCCCATCTGAGATCAGAGATAAAACTCTTTTTCCAGCTCAACACTATAGAAAGGGATGCCTTTCTGTACCTCTGAAAGCTTCTGAGCTGGCAGAAATTCAGAGCTGAATGGAGAGAAGAGCTGGGCATTAGGTTCTCCATCCCTGCTTCAGAGGAAGGGGTGAACCACCATAAACACCATTATAGTCTACATCTCTTCTAAATCCCCTCCCCGGAGGCTCATCTCCATGATTAAAAGATTGTAACATAAGATGTAGTTGCGTGATTACATCCTGCTGTATTCAACAGAAGTATCTTTCTTTTTTCTAACCAGGGTAACTAACTCTTTGACCATGGGAGCACCTGAGCTAGTTTCCCGGTGATGTCAGAGAATGTAAGTAGGATAAGCTAGAGCCTAGTACATCAGGAATGGGACATGTTTGAACAGACCTAAAGCTAGAGCCTAAGCAATGGATCTGAGACAAAACCAGGTATTAAAGGAGCTTAATACCTCCTTGCATCCTCATGGAATGCAACAAAGTATGATAAAATCTGGGTTACCTGAACTTAAGCAGCATAAAGGCAAAGACAATAAAGTGAACTACATGAAATGGGAACTCTGAAGCTTGCCTGATCCTTTAGGTTCGTTGTGATGTACCCAAGAGCCTTTGCCCGCTCTTTATACAGCCTGATAGCTTGGTCCATGGGAACACGTAATCTGATCCAGTATTCCACAGTCCCGTAGTTTTGGATCTCTCTTCCAACTCCTAAAAGTCACATATAGGATGTAGAGACTCAAATGTTTCAGCCTTCAGGAGGGTAAATACTATCCAGACCCCCAGAGCAAAGCCAAAATCCAGATGCCAGCTCTCTCGTTTTTGGATACGGTTGCGTCAACAAATGCAGGCCACCCCCCTCCCTCCTAGTGCACTGAACAATCCAGAGATCCTCAGAACAATTTACACAGCATTAGGCAATAAAACACTCCATTAAAGTGCAGAAAATCTGATCCTTCGCAGGAAAATCTGGCAATCGTACTCATCTTTGGAAAAAGTCAGATGAACTGTTAAGTAACCTTTGCAGAAGGAGATCCCACAGTGTACTCTTTTATTGGACAAAATGTTTAATAAAAACGGAAGAGGTGGGCGAGTCACCCGAGCTCTGAACATACTGTCTTGAGAAGATCATGCGCTTGGCAAGGCAGTAATAGAAATTGATCTTTTCAATCAACGGACACGTTCAATGTGCTTTATGATCTTGATTGCACATGGAGCAGCCTCCCCTCCAGAAGCGCCCTCTGGAGGTTTTGGCCCACGACTCCTCGCATCCCAGTCCAGCACATCTGCAGGGCATCAGCTGGAGGATGAGTGTTCTGGAGCCTGGTCTTGCTACGCTCTGCTGCTCGACTGGAAAAGGCAGTGCTTGGATCACCCCTCGCTCCTTTCCTCCAGTTCTGGGAACTCTCTGCTTAGCCATAGTTCAGGGACTGGTGGTGTTATGCCCGGATAGCTGGGGTGGGCAACTTCGGGAGGTCTGGGTCCATTTTCACATCCCCCCCAAGCTCCCCATGGGCCACCCTCACTGCCTTGCCATGCTGAAAAAGTAAAATAAACCAAACGAGGTCTGGAGCTGCTACAGCTTTGCAAAAAGGTAAAAACTGACTTGCTTTTAAGATAATGTGGATGTTTTTAATCTCTGCTCTGCAGCAGCTTCGGGGCACTAAAGGGGCTAAAAAGGCTTCCCAGTGGCTACCCAGGAAGCCATTTTTGTTTTTTAAACCATCTTTTTCATAGTGTGAAGGGATGATGGGGGTTAGTTGAGGAAAGGGAGGTTAGTGAGTCCTACGTGAGGGTCCACCCTGTTGTGTCCCCTGGCTAAGGAACTCCCGAAGGGGAGATACAACAGGTCTCCTCAGTGAGAGTTAGACATGAACTGAATGCGGTATTCTTCTGGCTTGCCTGGAAGCATGACCTGCTTCTAATTGTTTTCAACTCCTCTGGCCTTTTATTTTGAACAAAGAAATACATAAATATTGTAGCAGGTACAGTGCCTGGAGATTATATTATATTATTTATTTAAAACTTTTATATGCTGTCCTTTATGTATGACATCGCATACAGAAATGGTATATAAGTAAAAAACTATAGTGGAGAATATGCTGTTAAAGTTCCTTTTAAGTAAACGCTTTAGTAGCAGGAGGAGTTTCAAGACAGCAAATTTAAGCCTAATTTTGATTTACTGGTAATGGGATTCACTTTTCGAAAAAAAAAATATTATTCATTCTCTTTACAGGTGCAGGTTTCTTTAGAAAGAAAGGGGAAAAACCAATCACGAGCCATCAATAGCCAGTACCTTTGCAAACTGTATTTTCCTGGGGTTTACGGAATCAAAGCTTTGCTTGAATGTTGAATGTTCTGATATATATCTTTGTTTACTTTATTTATTTCGTTTCTATATCACCCCATAACTGAATACTGGTGCATTCATAATTAACAGAGAGAAACATCTGTTTTATTGCTTTTTTAAAAAATATCCTGTAGGTGTGCTATTCATTTCATTTCGTTTCGTTTTCATACCTCCCAATAAGCTGAGGCACTCTGGGTAGTTAACAAAATTTGTGGACTCATCTTAAATCTACCTTGAAAAGTACAAGGAAGTTATTCAGCTTACCTGCTTCAGTCCACTATTCATGAATATGCATTTCCTATAGCAACATTAAAAAACATGGAACTTCTAGTGACGAGGCAATGAATATGCACTTCATGGACTAATTTGTGGACTAATTTGTGGACTAATTTCACTGCAATCCACATAAGCATAGCAAAGTGTCTGTGACAGTCATTTCCCCCCTTGCTATGGTGGGAAGCCACACTCGTTCACCCAAAAGGTCTGATGGATTTAGACAGGCCTTCTTCCTACTGTCGGATGCTGGTTAATGTGGGCAATATTCCTGTTAAAGGAATCACCCTTATAATAGGGAACAAATACAGCCCCGAAGCTCGGTAATTGAAAACATAACCAGGACTCACCAACCAAAATTGCTGAACTATAGATCCGGCCATTCTTCTCCAATATTTCATGGAATCTCAGCTGGCAGGAGCCGGCTGTCTCAAAGTCCATCCCACAGGCATGATGAAGCTCAAGTGTGGCACCATTTTTGTGGATGTATTGTAAGAAGAAGTCATCAACCCGTACAAGATACTGAGAAGTAAAATTGTAGGCAGGGTTAAGGCCCCGGACAACTGGCGTGGTCTGCAGCTCGAAATCATAGAATGCGTAGGTACAGAATGTGGCAGGTTCTTGGTCCCCAAAAGACTTTGCAGCTTCAGCAGAAAACAGCACTCGGCTGATGTGAATTTCAAACAAGTTCTCTCCCCGCTCTAAATGGGCAGTTTCATCAAACTCATCGACGGGATCACCTGGCAAGATATCTGGTCTGAATTTGTACAGCTTTGTGCCATAAGCAATATCCTTTAGCTGGGCTGTAAGGCAAAGGAACTTGTTTAAGCTTCCATGAATCTGATAGTTCTAGGTGTTATGTCCCTATTTAATTCAGACTGTAGCACAAAGAATGTAAGAACTAGAATCACTGGTAACACACAAAGCAGGCAATCTATCTCCTGTTCCTTAAATCTGAAGGAACATGTAATCAGAGTTTTACCTGATCTGTATCGGCAGAAAAGAAGACTTTGCCGCGAGATATTTGCACTTTTAATCCCACAGTAACAATAATCAACTGGTGGACTTGAGTAAGCCAGTTTATATCAGCATCAGCTGCTTTATAAAAAGAAGCCATTTCAGCCTGAGGGACACGTTTTATTTTAGAGAGTTGAATTGCTGTGGTTGGTGGGGCAGAAGATAAAAAGGCGGGGAGACAATTACCAGACTATTTTAATTTAAAACTGCTCCTACCAGTCACTGAGCCTTAGGAGAGGCATTTCAGCCTTTTAAAAATGAGGAAAGAACTGCACAAAAGCTGGGAAAGGACTGGTGGTCTAGGAAAAGGAAATGGCCAGGTAGGGAACCTCTGTGAGCCACAGTTGGTTGCCAGACCCGAGTTTCTGCACCCTGGCTGTGTCAAAATGGAATGGAAAAATAGCTGCAGGGTGTCCTTTGTGATGATCCAGGATGAAAAGAAGGGTCTGCATAGTGAAACGGAGGAACAAATATAAGTGCCACCTGCACAATCTTTTTCCTCTTCTTAAGTTACAGGAGGGACTGCAGGTGGCGCAGTGGTTTAAACTGCTGGTTGATCGAAAGGTCGCCGGTTCGAATCTGCACAACAGGGTGAGTTCCTGTTGCTCGGTCACAGCTCCTGGCAACCTTGCAGTTTGAAAGCATGCAAATGCAAGTAGATAAACAGGTGCCACTTCGGTGGGCAGGTAAAAGCGTTCTGTGAACTTTGGTGTTTAGTCATGTTGGCCACACGACCACGGAGACTGTCTGCGGACAAACACTGGCTCCCTTGGCCAGGAAATGGCGATGAGCACTGCCCCCTAGAGTCAGGAATGACTGGACGTAGCATCAAGGGAAAACCTTTACTTTTAAGTTACAGGAATTTAAGTCTCAGTTAAGTTTCTTACTTACAGAGTTAGGGTTATGACTTACCTTTTCCATCTTCCTATTCTATTGACCAGGCCCAAAACTAAGTCCAAATCTTTTGACCATTGAAGTTAAAAGTTCTGACTAACGCACCTTCCAGTTTTCGGATACGTGTGGCTCTCACATCAAGAAGGTGGACGTATTGTTCCAGTTTTAACTCATAATCTCGCTGCAAAGCCTCCATTTTCTGGGTCACGGATTCCACTTCTGCCTGAGGATGGAAAGAAAAATAGAGGTAAAATAAATTTCCGTATTTGTGCAGGATCTGTGTGCAATGTGTTTGGAAAAGGAAAGGGAGTAGGCTGAGATGCTATCTGTGTGTTATTTTCTCTTCCAATTATTTGTCGTGTGGAGAAAGAGAGTAGCAAGCCTGCCTACAGCTTTTCTCATTCAGCTCACTTCAGGGAGATGTGACCTGGGAGACTTTTCACTTACCCTTCAAGAATTAAGTCCTCTTAGGACTACCTATTGGGTAGCTCCTGCTAGACAGAAGCTTCAGATCTCAAAGGCATTGGAGAATTTTGAGAAAGTGCATTCCATAGTTTGAGAGGTAAGACAGACAGGGAATTGTAAGTGTCCAGAGACCCATTGGGTATTGGATGGGGTAAAAATACCCAAATAAATAAATAAAGCCATGCTGTATGTACCTGACAGATGGGCCACTAGGAGTAATAGAGCCATCGAAAGGGCCCCTGGCAGATCGGAATACCTGGACTGATTCACAGCAAGACGGGAGCTCCCTCAGATAGCCAGACTCTAATCCATTTAGGGTTTTAAAGGTGAAAACTGGGAGCTTGAATTGCACCTGGAACGTAACTGGTAACGAGTGCCAGTTATATTGTTTTAAATTGTTGCATTCTCCCTTGATGGCTTTTTGGCAGATAAGGCAGCATTGTTAAATAGCAGTCTTTGTTACCCAGGGGTCAGGGTGGTTTTGAAAACTTGGAATTTCCTGGTTTCATTGTTCACTTCTCACCAGGACGATACGGATTGGCAAGAGCCGTGTGAGGAAACGCAAGAGGCTTGATCTCTCCCTGTGTACAGTTTGTGGAGAAAATATACTCTGGGCAGGGTCTTAGGCTGTGGAAGTTTCCATCATACATGATTATTCCGGATTGTGCCACTGATTCTCTATTCTTTCCTTACTGTTTGAAATGCTATCTTTGGCTTTGGTCAGTCCAATAGCAAATTGAATTGATTAATTTAATGGGGTCTCAGGGGTGCATTCACTGTGCAAGCCACCTGGCTCTCTACGGAGTGCTTTGACAAATATTTCTTGGCGATACGCATTGCAGTGGAGTGAGACCATGGGAGCTTAAAGTATGAAACTTACTGCAATAGCAAAGTCTGATAGACTTTAATTAAGATTTGGTTAGTTGCCATGAAAAATCTTGGATTCATTAATCTTAATAATCAGATTCTACTAAAAGCAAGATAGGGAGAGAAAGGTACAGCGATAGACGTACTAGTAGTTAAGTGCACGTGGAGATAATTAAATACCTGATAGTCTTTGTTAATTTTATGCTGCACAATTAACATATTGCGTGTCCTTTCAAGTTCCTGAACAGTTTCTGCATGGGTTGCTTGGAGCTCGCGCATGGAACGTTCCAAATCCTTATGGACGTTGTCGTCGTCTACTTTCTCCAAAAATGGGAGGTTTCCACTTGCTTCCTGCCTACGAACCTGAAGTGGAGACCTTCATAATTAGACCTCCCCACCCACAAGAAGTTCCATTTTAATTGAAACAGATGAACCTCTCTTTCTGGCATGAACATAAATTTATGCTTGGAGACCAGTCCTGTACATTTCGCAATGCCCCATTGGAAGGAATGGAAACAGCTCAGAACCATTTAGCAACCTGGTTTGCATCCAAAGGTCATGCATTTTTATTTATTAGTCATGCTTATCGAATTCTTAACATAATTAAATTTCTAAGCAGATATTTAGGTACACTATGAAAAACTATTTCATTTTACTCAGAAACAACATTTCAAATGCATTCAGTGGTAGTGTTAGTGGCTAAGAAGGTTCCAATTCTGTGTGTGCTTACTCAGACACTCACTGTAACAGAACTTACACACAGATTAATGATATAGTACTGCAAGTCTAAGCTATGAAGCAGAGAATACATGTCATCCGTGCCATAAACTCACCAGGTATCTTACAAACTTAGGGCTGTTTACGTGGAATGAAAACTTACTATGTTCAGTAAATGTAGAAATGTGTAAGAAACTCACCCCTTCTCACATTTGAAACATGGGTTTGGCACTACTGACTTAGAGGGTTGTTCTCATGGTTAGAAGGTAATTATGCAAACCACTACAGAAATACTATTTATTTATTCTGTTTCTTCTTCATGAATCACGCAGATTGTGAGAAATGATCCTCTAGTCCCACTGACCATTCAGGAGAGGAGGCTGCTTCTAACCTTCCCACTAAAGATGCGAAAATTGGCTCAGTAAAGCTAGGAAAAGTTGTGCTATTGCCCATTATTTCTGCCATGAATGGTCACTGAGCTTATCCTGCACGCATCAAATTGTCATTAACCAACCCATTTACAATTCATGGCTTTTGCCCCAACGTTGAAAAATCATGGTTAACCTTTTTCTTGGATGTATCTCTCTGATCATGTTTGCACAGCAAATACTGTGAACACACACACATACACACACATTCAGATAATTCTCTGCATATACACAAAGACATCAACTGAGGATATAGTTTCCTGGATCTGATGAAATGGGCTCTAGGCCACAACTAAATCTATTCGCCTCTAAGGTTCCGCAAACTCACTTGCTGGTTTTGAGTTAAAAAGCTGGATGCAATCCTCCAAATAAATGCGCATGTTGTATGCTGCAGCAGCATGCATCCATGCTGACGAGTGCCCATGCGTACCAAGTTTACCACACAGTGATTGCTACATGAACGGCTTGAGAGGAAATCTACTCAAAGACATGACGACACCGGGATCACAGTTAAGCCGTCTTACCTGTTTTATCTCCCCACACCCAATGTTGGAATAATGCTCTTAACATTGGCACATTTATTCCAGGTTCGGAGTGGTGGTGAACAATGCCTTAGGCCTCACACATGGAAGAGGTGTCTGAGCTCCTCGGATTATGACTTAGTGTTTGTGTCTTAGAAAGGCTTCCTCTAACAAACATTTTAATATCAACTTGGTTATATTAAGGGAACAAGGAAGAGTACCATGTGATACTGCAATCTGTCATTATTCAGGAAAACTAGACACACCACTGGGAGAAAACAGCAGCTAACAACATTGAAAGGCAGAAACCAAATCTTTGCCATTCCTTCCCTTTTTTCACATCATTTCAATTCTGCTGTTAAGAGCAGAATTACAAACTAGGTATAAGAGGGAAAATGCATTTCCCACTATACTGCTTTTATAAATAAGCAACTAAGAAGTGTTTTAGGTACAAGGAGGGAAAAAAGCTTATGTTGCCAGTGTAACATTTTAGTTTGGCATCTGTTTTTATATCCTGCAAAATTATTTTTATACCCTTCAGAATCTGTAAACAAAAAGTTGTTTTGATTAGAGCTGTAGTGGGACAACGTGATAACGGAAAGGCAACTGTTATTATTCGATCAAAAGCAGGGAAGAAGAAAAGCTTTAAAGCAAATCCATGTAGGCTGCAGGTTAATTCACTTTTGATGTCACAATGAAATATGCACATGACCTTAAAAAGTTCTATAATGCCATTTCCCCCCTCTCCCTCTCTCCTGCTTCTTTAAAACTGAATGGCAACATCACCAATATGTATTCCACAGAGCATTAGCTGGCACAAGCTGGAAAGAAAAAGTCACCCTGGAAAACTGGGCACGTCATATAACGCCATTTCTCTGAGGTACCTTTATAAGCATCAGAGCTTCACTGAGTTCGGCCGCATCAAGATTGCTGTCCTGGAAAAGACACGATCAATAGAAGGCATCATTCGATGGGAATGAATAATGGAGCGACACAGTGAGAACGTGCGGTGCGTTCACACTGAAACATGACATTTTGCCGGGCGTTATGAATAAGTAACTGCTTATTCATCCTCGTGCATTGGCTTTTAAGGAACATCTGCATAAGATACAGAAAGCTTTCCCCTGCCCAACCCCTGTCCCCCTTTCTGGGTCACTTTCTGAACAAGTTCACCTTTGTGAAAAACTTCATGCGATCCTTCAATTCGTCCAACTGCTGCTTCTGCTCCAGAAAGCGTAACTGCAGCTCCTTCATCTCCTTGGTGAGCTTTTCATTTTGGTCTCCGAAAGGGGAAAATAAATAAAAAAATAAGTATTCTATTTCAAGCCAGCAGGACCTGAAAGGCCACCACCGTGGTCTTCAATCAACCTTTCTTGCAGCCAGTTTATAGGATATGTATTTATTAAATAAATGTATTAATACACTTTCACTCCTCTCCCTTCTATTAGGAGAGTCAGGAAGTTGGGAAGGGAAGTGGGAGTTCGACCAACGCACAGAGATTCCATCGGGAGCTCCTGGGCTCCTGCCCAAAGTCCGACATTCATGGCCCTCAAAGACAAAGGAACTTTTTGAATGGCTTTCCATCGCCGCAACGGCACCTAACATCCCGAATGCTCATGTGGGTGCATTTAGGCAAGTCCAGACTACTTCAGACAGTACTTTTAAAGTGCAAAACTGTGGACAGGAACCGCCTGCTTATACGTCACGATCTGACTGCCAAAACTTAGTCCATGCACTGTTTGGTTATCTCCTGGCTTTTGTGCGGCTTCTCCCCATTCCAAAAGACTGAACTCTTTCCTAGGGCTTAGATACAGTAAGAGCTTGGAGCCACACCATGCTGTCTTTTTGGTCCCATAATTCTTCTTGGGCTCTTCCCACTGCTGGGTTGCTGCTCCAGAGAGCTTCTCTGAAATGGAATTCAGCCCTCCAGCTGCAAAAGGTATAACATCTGTAGGCCAGTCCAGCTATTTCCTTACAACTCCAAACAGCTGAGGATCCAGCAGAGTTAGGGGGCTAGAGCAAGATTGCGTTGCTGTGCTTTTGCCCAGGCATCTGGTTTGTCCTCACAGCCAGCTGTGACTCTGCTGACATGGGCCTGAATTCAGTGGGGTTTACCCTCAGTAGGTCCAAGAGTTTTTGCAGCCTCGGGAAAATGGCACCCACCCATTTACCCCAATTAAGCTGCATGATGCCCAAAGCCAGGCAAGTTGTTTTGGTATGTGAGTACTTCTCTCCATCCCTGGCATTAGAAGTATAACAACTGAATAGCTTTTGTGGTCCTCCAGATCTACTGCTTGAGGTACAGGATTGTAGGCCAAGAGGATGAAGGATCATGGGTGTTGATGTATCTTTCTGAGAGGAGAGGTTTCTTCACTGACATCTGTCTGGTTTTTTTGCTGTTACACTCTATATCTTGGATTACCCACTGAACTGTCTGGGTGCGAGAGCGTGTTTGCAGGAACTGAACTGATTTATATGACTGACTGTTTTTTTCCATGTGTCTTAACATAAATTTTTAATAAAAATGAATTAAATGGGCTTTTAAAAGCCAAAGCGACTCTCTATTTATGATGAGTGCAGGCATTCCCTTTCTAAAATTAACTGAGACATTTATAGGTTTACAGAAACACTGCCAGCTCAGTCTGCAAACATTAGCTTAGGTTATTTGCATCACAGCTTGCAAGAACACACGCTGTAGCTATAAGAAATAAATAAAAAGATACAAGAAGCAAAAAGATACAAGAAGCTGATATCCACTTTGGTTGCAACCCTGTAAGTGCGTACCTGAGATTCAGTCCAACGAAATTCAGTGGGGCTTTAACTTTAGAGCAGACCTTATAGGATTATTCGGTTAATCCTTCAACAATTTTTTGTTCTCCCTTAGGACATAAAATTTCTCTCCACCCAACCTCCCACCATTGTTTTTCTGAAGAAGCTGGACAGAAAATGGAAGCTTGCTGTTCCCTACAAAGATTTTTTCCGATGCCATGCTTTTTGGTGTGTTAACACTGCTGCATGTAGATCAGATATAAGTAATGACTGGAAGTCAGTTTCCGCAAAAGCAACTTGGCTTGTGACACGTGGTCTATGTTAAGGAGATATAAGAAAACACCACCTTCGATATCTTCACCCTCAAAAGACAGGATGTTCAATACGTCCCCCAACTCCAAATTAACAAAGTCTGATACAAGGCTTTGATTCATTCCTTTGTCAGGACTGGAAACCAAAAGAATGACCCCCAAAACAAATGGAATAGGGTGGCTTAAAAGAAAAGGACTGCTAGGCATTAGGATTTATATCTTGCAGTAACAATCTTAAGATGGAAAGAGTTGTTTTACTTTCCCTGTATGGAGCTGTTCTAATGGACCAAACACAGCTACTTATGCCTTTGATCTAACTTAAACAAGATTCTGTACACCGTCTTCTCCTGCTCATACAAAATAACAGGGTCTTAAGAAAACAAAGATTGAGATAATCTACTGGGAAAACAAACAGCTGTCAAAATCCGTTTGCACTAATATTGTCACGCACTGGCTGCTGACCCACGCATTCATGTTAAAAAGAAGACGAAGAATTGGAATAAAGAGGCCCTTGAGCCTGCAATTAATTTAAGCATTAAACTCCATTGAAATGTTCTAACCAAAGGATTGCAAAACCTGAAACTAATCTGCACATTGAACAGGGAGCGGAGGGGGTGGTAGAAGCAAGCAAGCAAAGAACTAAAACTTTTCTACGTTATCTAAATGAACAAGGAATGCTCAAACGAGAGTTCACCGATGGCAAACCAAAGGAAGGCAGGGGTAGCGGGGAGAAAGAAACAGGAGAAACAATCACAAATTGTAAACCGGCTTCTCCTTTCATCTTGTCCGTGGTGAAAGACAAGCACACCAAGGTGAAAGCTGGATTCTGGCATTCAAGGAAAGGAGTGTCTTTGTTTCTATAGAAAAAACATTTCTGGATTCTCAGGAAAACACTTGAGAACTCTGTGCAGGCTGAAGTGATACGATCCAGGTACAGCCGGGGTGTGCAACCTTTTCAGCATCAAGGGCAGGTAGGGTGCTGCCACACACACATGCTCAAGGTCATGTGCATCCCAGTGAGCTTGCTGCAAATAATTTGCCCTCTGCTGAGGGCAGGTGGGAAGCATGGCTCCTGGGAGGGGGCAGCTGGGGGTGGGGGACTTGGTGGCAGCAGGCGGACTGCAGTGATGGCTCGGTGGTGCTGTCTGTGGTTCTCACAGCATGTGGGTTGAGGACTGTGGAGATACAGGTTTGCCACATCTGCTTCTTGGCAAAACAGAGCTTTTCCAGCCCTGTGGGCATGGGACCCGTTCCCAGCCCTAGGCTATCCCCCTGCCAGAGTGTTCTGCAGGGTTGGGGGAGACATAAGGTCCATGGAGGAAGCAAAATGGACCTATCGGGTGAGGAGGATGCTCTCTGCGGGATACCCCATGGCATGCTCTCTCTCCACTTATGAGGTCACCCAGCTCTCTTGGGTCCAGTTATGTCACCAAAGCCCATCTGCGGGTAGCTGAGGGAGAAGCCATTAATCAGGGTGGGGCATCTGCTTGACACGCCGCAGTCCAATCCCAGGCCTCTCAGTTAAAAAGAACCAAGGAGCCCTTGGTGGTAAGGGGAGACTCCGCCTGGCCCCTCGCAGATCCGGTGACCCCCCAAAGCGGCTGGGGCAGGGGCCTGCTTTCAGCCCGAGGACTGAATTCAGCTCCAGAGAAGCTCTTGGAGACTAACTTCCACCGGCGTGCCAGGCCACAGGCGATGAAGGTGGGATCAAACCTCAAAGCAGGTCTCATCTTGCTCTGGTGTAAAGGTTTTCCTGCCAACCACTTGCAGAAGGCATCTCAGCCTTTTAGAATGGGGGGACAGAGACAGGGACAGGGGTGTGGCTACCTGAGAAACCTCCGAGACCCCCATGCGGGCGAAATCCGAATTCCGTATCCTTGGAATCGACGGTCTTGGGCAAAATGGACAAACAGCCTAACCTGCTCGAGACAGACTCCCGCATTCCCTCTTCCCTTGCTTAAAAAGGAGTGCCCATGGGCAGCGATAGCTAAGCTCAGGCGTGAGCTACCTCGTTCCGCTTTGAGTCTGTCTAGGATGTCATTTTTCTCTGCTAAATCCGACTTTAACACTGCCTCGAGCTGCTGAATCTGCCGCTTCAGCTGCTGCTCCTTTAACTTCCACTGCGGATTGTGGGTCACACCGAAGGCACTGAGGAATAAAGGATGGGGTGGGAAGGAGAAGCAAAGCAAAAATAGTTAGAGACCGACACATGGCAGAGGAGAAAACTCAGGAATCAGCTTCCCCAGAAGAGAGTCAAGACGGGGAGCGGGCGGGGGGGGGGGAGCGATTTTAGTGGCAGCGATTGCTGTCATCATGTCTCAGGAATTAAGTAAACACATGCTGCTGCTCAGACCGAGGCGCCTTCTCAGGCTGCGGTTGGGGGACATGAAAGGGTTCGTGGGATGCGCAACGGGGCTGGGCCTCAATTTGCAGCGGCGGAGCCAGAAGAGTTGGCAGCGTGCGAGAAGTTGTGGGGGCTCCGAAAGGAATTCAGGGGCCCTGTTCCAGAGGAATCTGCTACTTGAGATTTCAGCAACAGAAGAGCAGCGCAACTGTCCTTTCCATGCAGAAACTGCGCTGCGCACGGGCCACCTGAGCCTTTTGAAAGAACGGGGCCGGGAGGGAGGGGAAACTTAGTGCATCTCATGACACAAACAGCTCCTGCAAAGCACCTTACGCCCCATTTGTTCTCTTTATTGCATTTTTTATTTTATTTAAAGCTTTTCTATGCTGTCCCATTATTAAAGGTCTCTGGATGGCTTACAAAGAGCAAAAAACCAAAGCCGGCTTTATAGTCTTAGGCCGAATGAGGGCCAGGTTAGCCCAACCAAGAAATCAGGAGCACCACATTTGAAGGAGGTTTGAAGACGGTTCAGAAAAGAGGAGACGATGTCAAAAAGCTCAGAAAAGTTCATTTAACATTCTTGCAGAGGCTAAAGCTATGGCAAAAGCGGCAGCTGAAGGAAGCACTTAAGTTCGCCATTAAAGGGTGTTTAGATTTGGCAGCAGCTTGACTTTTGCCAGCCGTGTGGGCACTGCATGCTGGTCCTGCAGCAACGCAAGGAAAAGGGTTGGATTCTCCCTGGGAAGAAATCCAGAGGTGTTATGATAGTTTACAAGCCTAGCAAGGCCCCTGACATATGCAGCTGCTTGCCAACGAGTCAGACTCTCCGAGCCCAATCCAGGCCGCACTGCCAGGCAGCAGTGCTCCAGGGTTTCAGGCAGGATCTCCCAGTGCTGTGTGGAGATGCCAAGGATGGGAACTCGGACCGACCCTCTGCAGGCGAAATCGCTGTCTCCTCCACTGTGCCACAGCCCCTGCCCCATTCTCCCCATGCAGCCATGTCCCGGGATTTCACAAAGGAAACCAGTGTGCTAAGATTTCTTCCTTGGGATTGTAAATAATTTTTACAGCATGCTGAGCACGTGCCATCGATCGGAGCAGTCAGCCCTTCGGTTCGTTTTGTTTGTCCTGTTCCTCTGCAGTCCCTGTGTATGTGTCACGTTGATAATGTTGATGATGTTGTAAGCAGGAGAGCATCACGTCCCCCTCTGCACTCTATCCCGCTAGTGAGCATCGAGCTGGCCAAAGCAACGCCGCCGTGTCTGCAGGGACACTTGTACTGAGGTGGTTCTACTGTGGCATTCTGCCAGGGTGCAGGGACACACCTCACAAAAGAGTCTTGGTGCACTCTTACGTGTAAGAGCATCAGCCGCTGGATCAGGGCTCTGCATCCTCCAACTGTGGAAGGAATTCCAGACATGCCCATCGTTAAGCCAGGACTCTGGAGGAGAGTGGGTGGCAGAGCTCACCTGCGGAAGCATAAAGGGGAAAGCACTGCGGGGAGGGCTGCACTCGCGCTACAAAACTTTTTAACAGGCTGCCTGTCCAAAGGTATCTATGTTGGCCATTTGTGTCTGAAATGGGAAATGGATGGCATGTATTAGCGATCTGTCTGTTCTGCTGCCATGACATATAAATCTTTGTAAACAGATTAGTCTACTATCTTGTCACGGGAGAACTGACCCTGCTCTGCAGTTTAGCGATGTACCTGAACAATTACACTGATACTTCGCGAAGGGGCCTGGCTCAGTCATGGCCCAGGTGACCTGGGCAAGCTGCCTCTTCTCTCAGTCTCCGTTTCTCCCCTCTGTAAAGTGGAAGTAACCGTGGCCACTTGGAGAGGCCTTTTGCAAGAATGGGGCACAACTTAGGGTGCAGTGTGAGCCTAAACTAAAGGGAGGAAAGAGCGGCTGTGCCTACTCCAGGACACTGTCACAGTCCAAGATCACAGCCACAGCCTGTATGGCTATTTAAGAACAGTTATCCATAGCCTTCATGTGCTCATAAAGTCTGTGTACATTCATTCATATGGCTGCTTCTTAGAACCTTGGAATCTGTCCCTGGTTAAATTCAGAGCAGTTTAGGATTCCACTTTCTCCAAATCCACATAATGCTAACTTTAAAGACACACAAAATTGCTCTGAAATGTAGTCCACAGCTATTATCTCTTTTACATTTACGACTGCATTCCACTGGAATCCTTGTGGAATCTCTTTAGAGTTCACTTTATCCTGCTGCATTTTGAAACCATCTGTGTATGTATAAACAGTAGCACACAAGGTCCTTTATGTGGATGGCTTGCAGGGCCAGATCAGCATTATTGGGTTAGAGAAAATCAGTGCCTGAAATTCATGTATTCAAGTGGGACTGCATTCTTCAATTTCCCCCTCCCAGCCCAAAAGTTTTATCACATATTCAGTGTCATTATGTCTCTTTAATAGTCTATGTTGACTAACTACTGGAGCTGTAACATTGCCAATACTTCCTTTGATCATACGTTTTGGCAATGTCTGGTAGCTGTCTCTTTTTGGAAGGAGGTTATAATATTGATAAACTTTGTATTGGAATGCTCTTCAATATTTACTGTTATAAACTTTTAAATTATTTATCTGCTTTCTGGAGATACCTAGACAACTTAAATGGACCTTCCAAGACCTTGGCAGCTGCAACACTGGAAGGATAAATGCTCATCTACCATGAATTGAAGACCTAATTTACACTTTCAAGATTTTAACAGATGCATATAAATTCTGCTCATAAATGGATACATGCACGGATATATAGTTTGTCTTCATTGAAACTTACGTATAATTTATGCACTCAAATCTACATTTCTTTTTATGGATTTGCATTGTTGAAACATATGAAAATAAATAAAAAATAAATAAAACACCCTTGTCATTGTGAATTTTCTTCACCAGAACTTGCAGTACTAGTTTAATCAGACATAGTGAGTGTGTTTGCATGAGGAAGGGAAAAGAATCCAAGGCAGCTTCTTTTACCCACCCATGCCTCCTCGTTTCTAGGATTACTCACACTGGTTGTCATATTGCCCAAATCTAGTGAGGTGGGCTTAAGGGTCTTCTGGAAGCCATTCTTGACACCCACTAGGTTCAGATGACACGGCAACCTGTGTGCAGTGTGGGTAATTACAGAAACAAGCTAGAATGCAAATGGCATGCATAGGATGGGGAAGCCACAACACCTTCTTCTGTTTCCCAGAACATGCAAACCCAAACAACGTTGACTTCTCTGTGCATATGTGCATGTGTGTGCCCACATGTGCGCATGTGCATTTAAAGAGTAAAGACCAGTTCCTAAAATGTTTCCACTTCTCATTGCCCTATCTGGGACCATCGGCTGGCAGCAGTGTCTAGAAAAGCAGCACAACCCTCTCTCCTTCATGACGCGGAAAACTTTCCTGTATGAACGCACAGCAACCTGTGTGACCCTGGCAATTAGTTAGGCAGTTGCTGGAAGGACTCCTTCTTTGTGAATTCTCACGCTTAGGATCCTGATCTGCAACTCATGGATTACCACCCAGATTAGAAATTAACCATCCAGTAGATCTGCCTTCCTAGCCTGGTGCCCTCAAGATGTTTTGGACTTCAATTCCCATTAGCAGCAGCCAGCATAGCCAAATTCTGGAAGTTGTAGTCCAAATCATTTGGTGGGCACTGGGCTGAAGAAGGCTGCAATGGATTTTTTCTGCTAAGGTCTGAACACAGCAGCCTAAGTATATTAAAATCCGCATTTAAATACAGATAAGATAATTTTAGAGACAATTTGCATTTAAATAGGTAGTGTGATATAGCAAATGAGGATCGAGGCAGAAAGGAGAGAAATGGAACAAAAGTGATACGGACGAATTGTAGTCTAGTGGTTGAACGTACGCTCTACAAATGGAAAGAGCTGAGGCCAATCCCTTTCACCTCCTGGTAGGGCTAGGAAAGAATCCTGGAGAGCTGTTGCTGCCAGTCAGTGTTGACCGTATTGAGGTAGAAGGGTTTGAGTCAGCATCCGAGGACTGGGAATTAGAGATATTTGTCCACTCCTAATTCATGCGATTCTTTCCTGACACTCTTCCCAAGGAGGACCATAGGAATAAGGGTCCCTCATGATCTGGAGCACAGAGCAAAAGTTGTCCACACAGTGGTCCTTCTCCACCATGATGCTTTGGCATAGCCCTTGCTGAAGCTATAATTGTGGGCCAGTACTCACAAGACCACTCACTATTATCCCAATAGATAATACTGAATACATGGACCCGTATTGGATCAATACAAGGGTAAATACGCCGGCATGGTAGAAGTTTGCTTCCTGTGTTTCTGTGATACCATGCACCATCCTCCAAACCAAATGGAAGACGGAATGAATAAGAAGCAGCTTGCACAACTGTGATCTTGTCTCTAAAGGTTATGCAAAACAGGGATGCAAGATTTAAATAGCAGATAAATCAAACAGAACTTAGTGGGGCCCAGTTTTAATTGGAGAAGGCAATTTTTCATCAAAGGAACACATTTATTTCTTTGAGGTTATTTTGGTTTATAAGAGGAGATGAAAAGAAAAATATTAAAGATATATGGGGTGAAGGGGAGGGCAGGCTAACAACCAGAAGCAGTGTTTGCTTATGAGATTGTGTTTCATCTCCCTGAATCCTCTCCAATAAGCACTTTTATACACCATTTCATAATATGCAGTTTCTTTTCTTGAACATAATTAATGGGTTTAAGAGCAGAAGGAGTGCCTACCAACTTCTCCATGCGCTGAGGAGGTCCTTCTCTATGAGCCTATCCTACCCAAGGAGCTAAGAACGTTCAGGCCTTCTTAACAATGGTGCAGCTGTTACGGAACGCCCTTGCCTGTCCGACGTGGCTAACACTTCAGTGCCAAGCCAACGCATTTGTGTTTACTCATTGTTGGGCTCTTTTCCTTTGCTTAGAAATTCCAGTGGATTAACCCTGCCCAGCGTCCACAGAATCAACAAACTAATCCTGAGTTTTAACACATTTCAGCTGATTCCAAACTGAGCAAGGAAGATCTTTATCTGCTGCTTTTCAGTCTTTCTTGGGCTCGCGATGTGTATTATTCATGTTTCTGTGGGACATTATCTTGAAATCTCATAGGACAAAGGGCAGTAGGAATATGTTTATAGCAATAATGAAAACGTTGAATCGGTTGGAGTGGGCCCAATCCGGACCGAGTTCTCTTGCCACTGTGTAACTCCGGCAAATCAGATTGCTGGCATTTACGGCATAAACAGACTGATGTTTCTAAAGTAGGGGTGTGGAAACACTACCCTGGGGTCCCCATTTCCCCCAACCACAGATCATCTGGTGGTTCCCTGGCTTTTGTGCAGTTTCTTTCCAGGTCTAAAAGAATGAAATACCCCTTCCAGGGGCACTTATGTAGGCACTTTTGATATTTTGGCAGCACCTGGTTTGGTTCACCAAAGGAATGCAGCCCTCAGTAGCTGTTCTAAAATAGTTTCCCTTTGCACTGAAACATTCTGCATGCCTGTTCTAAAGCAACCCGGAAGGCAGTGACATTGGAAATTGCTGAGGCCACAGGATCAAACAGACATTTCTCTTTGCACAGCAAAAATATGAGCATCTGAAAAACATGACCACCACCTTAAATGGAGAAAGAAGCCATGTTCTCCTCCAAACAAGAACACAACACACCTCTTCTACACATGGAGGGTTTTTCTCCTAGTCCTTCCAGCTCCATGGTCAGGTGTTTCCTCATTAAGCCCCTGTAAATTGACTGTAATTGCTTCAATTTTCTGTTCGGCACCAGAAAATGAATTCAATGCCCTATCTCGTTTCATGTTCACTAGGTTTAGCCTCCTAATTTTTTATTTATGTGATATTAAGCACTGCTGACAGAATTTACACAGGCTATTACCTTGCACCATCTTTACATAAATATCAGGCGTATAAGCTGTATTGCTGGCCTCAGGCACATTGGCACCTGAAAAGTCAAAACAATACCCTTTGTTGCTCTGGACTAGAGAACATTTTTTTTAAAAAATCAGAAGAAAGGGAGCAGAGACACTGGGGTCTATAGTGGAGGCAAGGCAAAAGTGGAATTGGTGTCTGAAATGATCTGTCATGGTCAGCATAAAGGGACAGTCGTGAGCAAAATCAGCAATGCTGGAAAACAGTTCCCCAAATTGTTGCAAAATGCAAGGCCCAATTCACTTCTGCTAAACAGCTGCAAAGCAGTGCCTAGCATGATAGGCTGTTTGATTGTTTGTAAGTGAGTAATTATCACGGATTGACTTTGGTTAGAATCCAAACAATTACCAAACTGATTGGAGGGATGGAGTTTTAGATCATTTTGCCTCTCACACCAAGTAGCTGCAAAAGCCGGCAGGGGCACCAATGGTGAGGCAGCAACTGAAAAAGGAGAGGGGAACACAGATGCATTCCAGGGGTTCTGAGAAAGTTCCTTGAGTGAGAGGCTTTGGTGCTGGCTTCTAGGAGCAGCCTTGCCTACTCTGAGCGGCTAAAATGGGAGCATCTACATCTAGAAATAAATGGCTGTTTTACGCTAGCCCAAAGGCTTCCGTACACACAGCGCGATTCCTGATTTTTTCCCTTCATTGAATGACCTCATTGCTGAATTGCAAATGGTATTTACAACTCCGATCAGCTTTCAAAAACCCTTTACCATGCAGGACTGGGAAGAGCTGCTGTTCTTGAAACACAAGGCTAAAATGTAATTAGCTATGCAGAACTCATTTAACTGCAGTTTGATTTATTTTCACATGCAAAACTAACTCCAGGGGGAAACCCAGACTGAAAGATTGGCAATAAATGTGTGTTTGGTGGAACAAGGTGGAAAGGCTGGTTTTTACTTTTTGGATCAGCTTGTAGGTTCCAATGATAATTTTCGGCTATTCTTGCTTTGGTGTGCCAAGTATGATTTGTATATATAATAGAACTAATGCTTCTCTTACTTGTATGATTTGGGAATGGCTTCCCATTGAGAGGAGGTAAAAATAGGTAAAATTGTGATGGGAAATGCTTTAATATATAATATAATATGTATGTATTCTTCCTAATATATAAATTCTTCCTAATTTCCAGGCATGATTTATAAAGGGGAAAATACATTGATATCTGGGTTGCCTTTGTTGAAGGCTATGCATAATTATTCCTAAAATCAGCAGTATATTTTGCGAAGCATAATACATATAGGGATACATAGTAATTATGCATTCCAACTTCATGTAAGAAAACTGATACTTTTGCAGGTTTTTGTTTTGATTTTGAAATTCACAATTAAAAAAATAACAAGACCTAATTCAGCCCATTGATACATTTTCCATTATTTTAATCTTGCAACACTTTTCACCCCCCCCCCCTTTGGAACTAGAAGACCATTAACAGCAAACAAGTTTGCATTTAGAACAGTTTTCTCTCATTACTGAGCTGTCCCCAGGCCAGCGTGTCTCCTGTCCTATTCTTCCAACTCGATTATCTCTGTTCTTAGGGAGTGAGGATGACTGCAGCCCTGCGACACCCGCACCCCCAAACTGCAGAATTACTGCTTGTATGACCTACTACAGCACAGGGGGCAGTCCACTTCTAAAAGCTGGGGACCCACGAACCTCAGCGCATGCATCCATCGGCGGACACCACGAGGCCCAAAGAACTGTCCGTGGTCCGGAACGAAGCGCTGCGTGTTCTTCTGAGGCCCGCAGGGGCTCATTGGCAGAGACACTCAAGGCGAAGCGGCACCCTGAGCATAAGGTGCTGCTTATCCTCCAGGGCAGAGGTGGGCAACTGGTGGACCTCCCAACAACTCCCATCACCTCTGGCTGTGCCAGCTTGGGCAAGTGCATGCACCAGGGAGGCCATACATAGCCACTGCATGACAGAGCATTAGCCGCCTCTTCCACAGTATCATCTCTCCCCACTCTGCCTTCCCACTTCCCACTATGCTGTTAAAACAACTGTTATCAATTATGACTTACCTGTTATATAATTTATCATAGTTCTCCTTTAGAAGATCCCTCTCTTTTTCCAAATCATCAATTCTTTCTTGCAGCTGGAATGAAGAAGAATGTAAGAAGTGATGCTACTGAAAACGAAAAAGTCTGTTTTCTTGCTAGCTGTGTGGGATGCTGTTATTTTTTCCTTTCTTTTTTGGCTGCTTATCTCACATCACATGAATCGCTCTGATTTCACAGAAGAGAAAGGCGAACTGGGTCTTTATACCCATCAAGAGCAATTAATAAAGCATTCTCTTCACTAACAAACACATTCCCATGTTGGAACTGTCCTTTCATGTAATACCAACACAAAGCTAACAGATTCAGTTAATCCATGCAGTCCCCGAAAACCTAACATTTCTTCTGCTCTATGTGAAGGAGTCAGATGAGTTCTTTCTGTCCATTATATCTAGGATTTAACTTTTGATGTTAGGATTGGGCCCAATTCAGTAATGGACCTCAGCAAACTTATTTGGGCAAATGTAGTGTCTTCAAAGGGTGAACTGCCTGTGATGAACTCCATGTGGTCTTCTGTACCAACCAGACAGTTTTCTGGGTGTCTGACCCATTCAAAAGGTGCAGGTTCATACGAATCTTACTGCACGTAATAACGGTGGAAACAGCACTGTGAATACTCTGGAAGGTTATCGGGGGACAAGTGCTGTATATCTGCCCACTGTACATTTGGCAGATTTCTGCTAAGGATAAGGCAGATCAAACCCTCTCACTGCATGGTCCCCAGATTAAAAAAGGCCCCTCTCCCGCCATCTTGGCTTAGAGCAAGAGCCTCACCTCTTGCAAGTGTCGCTTGGAAAATCCTGCAGCCTGCAGTTCCCTCTCCAGGTGGAAGCACTTGGCTCGCTCTTCTTTAAGCTGCACATTGAGTTCGTCTCCCTTTGCCATCAGGGCATCGTGACTTGCTTTGAGACTCCTTTGGTTCTATAGCATGTGAGCAGGATGGGGGGCAGGGGGAAAAAGCCATTGAATTGGTGCTGGGAAAGTAGCATGTGGCTGTAGTCACGATTGCTGGATACAGGATGCTTATTCTGCGCCCATCTTTTTAATCCCTCACAACAACATTCAAGGCGCAATCTCCATCCACTCAAAGGAAATACTCTTGCCAGGGGTGTGGCGATGTCACCAGACATGGCAAAGAAGAGGGTGCGGGGGGGGGGATCTCTTCCTCCTCATCTTTTGAATGCAAGCCCTCCCTTTTCAGCTGTGATGAGACTAACCAGGGCAGACATCTGTTTGGCAATTAAAGCGTTTTGCTGTGGTTGCTGCGGTCGGGACAGGCTGACCAAAACCACTACAGCAGCTAGCAAAAAGGAACCTGACCGCAAATACGTCCGTGCCGCTCTTGTCATTTCACTGCTAAGCCAGCAGCCATTGTTTCACTTATGCTTCTAATGCCTTTCAACAGAGTTGCATTGTTAAATCTGAATTAAGGGAGATGAAATGAAATTCAAATTTAATGTCCCTTTTAAAACAATCTGATTCTATTCTGCTATAGGACATCTGAAAGATTTTAGCTCTGTGTGACAGAGTTTCAAAAATGTTCCTTTTGGATTCTTTCACTTCAGATATTTCTGTGTATGTCACAATTTGCAGAGCTTTGATAAGATCAGAATCCTTAGAAAGTAAGTTACTGCAAGACACAGAAGTAGTACATAACTGTGAAAAGCTAATCTGTTGCACACCGTACCATGTCAAAGAGCAGAGCGGTAGTCTCTTAAAAGATACTCCTGTACTAAGTCAGTGTTACAGTCAAATTCCCCTTCCTTGTGAACCAAATGTAATAAACGATGTTGTGGAAACCAAAACCAAACCAAACCAAAATGACATAGTAATGGGGCTGTTGTGCTGAACAGTTCCAGGTCCGTCAGCATTTTCATAGCACCCTTGTGATGATCAGCAAGCAAAGATACAAGCTCGGAGAGAAGAGCATTACTGGTACCAAGTTTAGTAGATGCAGACAAATGCCCTGATGCAACATCCTTTAACCTGCGCGTGCTGTCGGGACCATATTGTTCCTGCTTTGAAGGACTCGCATGGGTTGCCCGTGGCTTTGCAGGTGCAATTCAAGGTCCTGGGCTTAACCCCAGGAGCTCTAAATGGGTTAGCACTGGCCCATTCAAGGGAATGCCTGCCTTGCTCTGAACCTGCCTGAGGATGAGAATGGGCAGGAGAGGAAACTATTATCCAGAGCCCCAAACCCCAAGAATTACACTGGGCCCCACTCTCTTGGCATTTAGAAAGGATGCCAAGGCATCTCTTTCTAAATTTGCAGCTTAAAAGCTGTAGTTTTCAATGTTTTCCTCAACGGCAATATTCTTGCTTTTATTGTTGCCAGGGGAAGGGGGTCAGTTCCAGTGGCTGGGCGTCACCTTCGTGGCCTTTTGCAGATCGGGGCACGATCATTGTAAGCCCCTGACCTTGATCACCCTTTGCCTCTCCAGCCACTCACCTGGACTTTTGCTAGGGGGACATTTTTAACCCCACCACACCCGCCTGTCTGCTTCACCGGCATTTCAGAGAAGGGAAGGAGGCTGGGGAGGCCTTGGGGTATCTCGCATGCTGGCTTCTCCCCTTTCCATTCCTCCAGGCAGTTTCCCTGTTGGCATGGCTCTCTCTACACTGGCCAGAAGAGGGAGGCTGAGGGAAGTTGGAGCTCTGATTCCCACCTCAGAGGTCAGAGCACTCCCTCAGACGTTGTCCAGCAGGATACAAATGCCGAGAATCAATGACCAAAAAAGAGGCCCATGCAGGCTGAGATAGGCACAAAGATGTTATGTACTTGTTGGACTGCATCATTAACTCGATGGGAACAACCAGCTTGGTGCTGAGGATGCAGTGGGGCTATGAAGGTACCTAAATCCTGGCACCAAGATTTCTAGACCCAGTTTAGAAACCCCAAAGAACACAAAGGTTAGGTCAGAAAGTCCCATGACCAGTCCCTGAACTTCCAGTTAGTTTTTATCCAGTGTGCCATTTTCAAATTTGTCTACTCAGATGTAATTCTCAGTACTGTACTTTGGCAATGTTAACGAGGAAGTCTTTCTCTATACAAGTTTACTGGATCTACTAGGAATTAATGGAGTTCATTCACCAGTAAGTAGGCTTCTAAGTCTCTTCATACCTCCTGAAGCTGAAGAAATCTTTCTTCGATTGCTGAAAATTCATTGCTTTTCTCTACCAACTGTTTATGGAGCTTGATCATTTCAACGTTGTCCCGAATGCTTAACCTTCAGAATATTTAAAAAGATAATGGCGTTAGGATGAGACCTGTGCTACAATCTTGAGCTGTTAGTTTTGCCTTGGAAGATTTAAAACGCTGAAAATTGATTATTTGTGGCTCTGAAATTCTTAAACACAGTTGAAGTGAGATGGGTGTGTTATTGCCAACTTCAGTCTTTTCCTTAAATAAATTGTAATATATAGACTCTTATTATTTGGATGCTTTATTTTGTTTAGCAGTAGCCAACCTCTGGGTATTTTGGGCTACAGCTCACCAGCCCCAGATGGATCAAGGATGATGAACACTGTAGTCCAAAATATCTGGAGGGCACCGTGTTGCTTACCCATTTTGTGTTATCAAACTTTATCCAATTTGGAGATAGATGGGACAACCCTGTGCTTAAAACAAGAAGAATTTCTGTTTACTATCTGGTCACTTTCTTCCAAATTTTGGATGTCAGAGAATGACTATTTCCGGAAGTTTCTTTCTGGAACTTAAAAACTTTCTGCAAGAATTTCCAAGGCAAGTGACTTAGCATTTTGCACAGATACTGCCCTGTGATTGGCATTCAAATAAGCTGCAGATGTATCTTAATATTGACCATCTTGACTGAAATTCTATATGGCTGAGATTCTGTTATAAATTTCCCCTGCTGAGATTCAATTGAAAATTCACTATTTAATCTTGTTATAAGTCATCACACAGCTAATACAGATATGCTTTCAGAAAGTATCCCTTGAATGGTGCAGGGTGACCTCATTATTATTGTTTTGGCATGTATTTTCGAATGAAAAAAAGTTTAAAAGGAAATTCTGAATTGATTTTAACTGCTAATACCAAATAAAGTGTGATAAACATCAGAACAGAATCTCACATCTTGAAATACATTGTTTCTCCTTTAGTATTTATCTGTTATAGACAGATTGGAAAAATTGTACCACTGCCATGCTGGAACCAGATATTAGACTACAAAGTGTGCACATCTGTAAACCAGCTGAGGAGCTGAAATACTTCTTTAAAAAATCCTTTTGAATTTCAAGCGTCCATTGTGTTTTGGCATTACCCGGTCAACTGTCCTGACTGAGAAGATTAAAAACCTCACAAACCAGGAATCCTGCCCAAGAAACGGGTTTGTTGCTGCTTGAAAATAAATGGTTATAGCAAGCAGAGAGACAGCAGCCCTGCCTGATGCTAGCACCGAAACCTCTAATACAATTCCATGTTTTTATTCATCTTGTTCCGCACATCAAACAAAGAGCAGGGCTGTCTTCAAAGACGTTTTACAGGAGTTTCTCTCTTCCATTACTGTTAAATAAAGAGGACTGGAAAAATTGATATCCACCATGTGCAGACTGAAGCCCAACGGCTCCTGTGAATCAACGACAATCAGAATAATCTACAGTAGTTGGTCAGGTTCAGATGTAGCGGGAAACTGTGGTTTCCCACTACAACAGGATGCAGCGTGTGCCCTCTAGCTGTTGATGGGCTGTGACTTTCATCATTTTGCAGCACTGGCTGTGCTGGCTGGGGATGATGGAATAGACAAGCAGGGGCTGCACAGAAAACTGTCCTATGAGCTGGGAACATCTCCACTCTGTTTTATCATACCGTTGGCCTGTCGTTTGCTGCTCTTTCAGTTGCAGGAGCGCGTCTTCAAACTCTTCTTCCTTCTTCCTAATTTCGCTTCTGAGCATCTCTACTGTACGTGCCAATTCCTCATTGTGTGCACGTAATGATTCAGTGACATTTTCTCTGCAAGGGAACAAAGCAACGAAGCGGGTTGATTTTACCATTCTTGGCTAATTTTTCACTAAATCGTCCCTTTTAGGAATATAGCCTCCTGAATCCATAAAGCTGAGTCGATAAATGAGCTCAGTTACTTGAGAGCATACCTCCCTTCAAAGAGACTTTCCATGTTGTTATTTGACAATGACTTTTATGTTTCAAAGAATTCAAATTCTGGCGTGCCTAATCAATTTATGCTGATCACTGGTCCATGGAGCCTCTTAAACTGAACAGCACCTTCCATGAACTTCTGATAAGCATCTGATGTGATGTAGGGAACTTCAGGATTCCCGACATCACAATTTGGAGGAACATCTATATCCTTGTAAGCCCATCTAAATATTGAGATAGGCTTCAGAGGTTCTGCTCTATGGGCCTGTGTTAGGAAAATGAGGCTTCTATGTGCCAGGGATAGGACTTTTCACAGGTGGCCACGAACTTGCAAGGAATTCTCAAAAATTTTGAGGTGGGTTCTCAAAATTTCTACCAAGTTATTTTTTAAGGATGGTTTAGGGTGCAATCTAATCAGGATACCTGTATGTCTCTAGAGTTAGATTACAGACATCCTATGCAGGGCAAGAAGAGTGGTGATGAGTGGCGTTAGTTCTGAGCCAATTGTAACGCGGCTGGTGGTAAGGAGTTATGTGGATAGATGAGATCATGGATTCACAGCTCTAAGTTTGGAGCTCTGTTTTCAGCTTGGTTCTAGGAATCTGGAATATCCTATATTTATTACAAACATTTGTATCCCATCCTTCCAACAAGTGCTCAAGACAGCTTACATAATATAAAATTAGAATAATACTACAGCCCCTCCCCACCAGACAATGTATTTTAAACTCCTTGTGATGTGCTGTGGTTTCAATGTATTTTGATGTAAATCATCTTATCTTCAACAGTGGAAAATTAACACTTGCAACAGATAAATAAAATTGAAAACCACTATATTGGTTTCTTTTTATGATGCATGGCTATTTTGGAAATTTCCTGTCGAATTGTTGTGTAAGAAGTTCGTGCATCAATTGTAGAACTAAGTGTTCAAAATAAATGGCATCATAACAGAAAGGACATTGCTTCTGCTGTGCCTGCAACTATCAGCGATCGTATACGTCTACACAAAAGGAAGCCCCACCAAGCTAATTGAGGCTTGCTCCTGAATTAGCACATGGAACTGCTTTTCTGTAAGGCCACTGATGATCTAAACATCCTAGGTTTATTCAGAGTGATCCCTCGGACTTTTGATTCGATGCCATTGTCTGCTTGTTGCCATTTTTACAGATCTGTTTATTCTGAATGCCGGTAGCCCTGCTCTACTGCTGGTACTGTGCTTTTTTTCGCCTAAATGTTGTTTTACACAATGATTTTGCAACAGTAGCTTATAAATATTGCAAGCAAGCATGAGGATAGCTAGACTAGCATACCTCAGACTTGCCTGGATCATAGAAATGCTATTATGCATCATTTCAGCTACAGGATAATACACATTCAAATGTGTGGCTGTATTAGGTGCAGTTCGAGTGATTCATGAGATGGAGGACAGAAAGCAACCCTCAGCTTTCTGAGATGAGAGATGCACCTGGCTGTGCAAAGGTGGAAGGACAGGAAGGAAAATCTGGGACCCAGGAAGCTGCCTTATGCGGCTTCCGCTGCTGGTCCGGCTAGACCAGAATTGTGGGTCCTGCCTGGCAGTCCAGGGCTTGTCAAGAAAGTGCTTCTCCGACTTTACTGGGGATCAAACCTGAAACCTTTAGGAGGATAAGTGTGTGCATCCACCACGGAGCTCAGGCCGCTCCAGGCTCAGGCTGAGAAGCAAAGTGGATCCAGACGCTTTTGAAGGCATTAGAGAAAACCACATGCCTCTCCCGGGCCTTGAAGTGCAACGGTGCTTTCTTGGTAGGGAAAGCTGAGCCTTGCACAGGGCCTAGCCAGCAATGGAGGAAGAATCCTCTGGCACTCACCAGGGCAGTGGCTGAACCCCTTGGCGGGCTCAAATCCTAAAACTGTCAGTTCAGGGGACAAGAATCATTCAAAATGTGCACCATCCGATGCACCAATTTCTAAAAGATTCTGAACATGCAGGCATGCATTTTTCAATAGTTATTGCTGAAGCAATCCTGGAGCTGTTCCACTGCAGTAAAGTGGGCAGCCTCCCACTCTGTCTTCCTTGCATGTTTCCTTGCTCTCCGCTACAAATCATTTCTTGCAAGCTGCCTGCAGTTGGTGCCTATTAAACCTGACGAGGTGGATGCAGATGACCCCGTGAATTTCTGCGACCGCAGGCTTCCACTGAAGGTGTCCAACAAGGTCAAACAAGCTGTCACTTTATTGGTGCATCATGCTGTGAAACTCTGTGTATGTGTGTGTGCGTGTGTCTTGCAATGGTGGCTAGAAAAAAACTCTTCCACCCTCATTTGTATGCCTCAGAAGAACTCTGCTATCCAAAGGATGCTTCTACAGCATTTTTCTGGGTTCAGTTTTTAGGATTCTACCCCATCTCTGCTTCCGGTCCTCAGGGATCAACTTCTGGCTTTTCCATATCTAATACCGAAAGCACGCCTCATCCATTTGTGGAAGCCATTTTGGTCAATTGGGGTTGGAAAGGCATATGAATTCCTCTGGACAGGGGGCATAGCCTCAGCGAATGGCAATAACACATTGATCTCTTCCAGGCTTTAGTTTTTCCTGCGTGAAATGAAAGCTCTCACTGCTGCTGCGAAGAAACACACAGTAAAAGCCTGAAAAGTATTTTCCCTGTTTGAAAGCTCCCTGCATCATTTTCAGCTTCATTACTGCTTCAGTTTTGAGGAAGCCTCCAAACGGTGGTTCTCAGAGAAACAAAAGGCAGGCACTTTTCCTTCTGTGGGAAGAGCTTTCCCACAACCTTGCCCTATCAGTGCATCCTAGAAGACCAGTTGCAAAGTAAACGTTTTAAACACAAACCTGAAGGTGTTTGCCGCAGGAACACAAGATAGGCCCAGCTTCAAACCCTGGCTTTCCAAACCTGGTTAAATGGGGAACTGGAATAGTGATTCAACCACAATGCATCTCTTAAGCATGAGGAGTTGGTCAGGAAAATTTTCTCCAGGGAGATGGGTCAGGAAAAGGTATGTATTCCTATGATTAGCTCCTGATCTCTTAATGTTTGTTAACTGACTGGGGCTGTTACATCTTCACCAGTAGCAAATACAAAAGCAGGTATAAAGCCAAGCAAATAATTTAAGCCATGCCTCCCACACGCCATGTGTTACATGAAAATCAGTCACAGGGGGAAATCCACTGAGAACGTCTTAACTAAAATCATGGGGCTTGTGCAGTGGAATTTTAATTTTATCTAGACTAGGGTGCACCATCTTTCTGGCTGTAAGATTGCACTGAGTAGTGCCATGGGGACATGGACACAAAAACACACAGACTTGGGGATTTCTATCGTGACTTTTATTCCCGTCAGAGGAGAAAAGAAATGTCCCTAGCAAAGGAACCCTTTCTTTTCCTCTGACTGGAGATTAGAAATATGGAATGGCTTCCTTGGCAGAACGGGGAACCCCAAGCAGGGGCGGTTAGCCAGATACACTTTTTGCAACACTAGACCTTAGTCATTCTTTATTTATTCATTAAAATACTTAATAATTAAAATGTATTTATTAAAACATATGCATTGATTTTTAAATTAACATATTTTTAGGTCATCTTTGAGGGTAAACCCATGCCAAGGTGGCAGTAAACCGACGGACAACATTAGGCAAAGGACAAGATGGAAGAATGAAGAAAAATAGAAAAATCATACAAGTTTCTTATCTCTGTTCTTGCTTCTTCAAGTAAGTTCTGCCCATACTTGGGTGGCAGCGCCTGGGGGGATTTCAGTGACCGGATTTCTACATCCTGCAATCTCATTCCTAAGAAGAGAGGGAGGGAGGGTGAGAAACAAGAGGCGTCTTTATGTAAAGGTAAATGACCACACAGCGACAAAGCAGGCAGCCGCAGAGATACAGGGACTCGCAATTATGCGGTGCAGGTGCTCCCTCTGGAAGTGATGGTGGAGCCTGTGGGTGGCTCTCCAGGGAGGGTGTGCACACCCACAGGATGAGGAGCCTGAGTGGGGACACCCCGAATCCCCAGTGGGAGAGGACGGGAGAAGATCTCTGCCTCTGGTAGACCCTTTACCCTTGCAGAAGAATATTTATTTATTTTCCGATTTATATCCTGCTTTTTTCCTACAAAGGGCTCAAGGCAGCTTACATCATTCTCCTCCTCCATCTTATCCCCACAGCAACAGCCCTGTGAGGTGGGTTGGGCTGAGAGTCTGTGACTGGCCCAAAGTCACCCAGTTGGCTCCATGGCCGAGCGGGGACTCGAACCCGGATCGCCTGAGTCCCAGTCCCGTGCTCTTAACCACTGCACCACACTGGCTCACTGAATATTGCTGCCTCTGCTCCTTAAAGCCTTGCTGAGTGAGGGCGAAGTGATGCACACATTCAGCACACTGCTGCTTGTAGGGAACCTTGGCAGCACTAGTTCTAGTCACTGCTCAGCCATGGAGCCAACTGGGTGACTTTGGGCTATTCAAAGGCTCTCAGCCCAAACCACCTCACAGGAGGTTGTTGTGGGAAAAAGACTGAGTGCAGCAGAGGGAGAATATTGTAACCCACTCCGAGTTCTTGAAAGAAGCCAGGTTATAAATCTAATTAATAAATACATCTCTTGCAGGTGCGGGGTCTCATTTATCAGGCTTTATCCTGTGGAATACACTGAGTAGGACCAGCCTCCCATCCCTTGACTTTTAGACGGAGTGTGAAACATTCCTTTTTAACTAAGATTGTAAAATTATGTAGCTGTTTTAATTTTGGGAAGGTTTTCTGCCTTGTAGTTTCTGTTTCCAACTGTGCCCTGATGGGATCTTTCTTTTGCAAATAAGGAAAAACAGGGACATTGATACAGAAACTAATAAAAACTGAACCTCCTCAACATTGGTATCTGGGAAAAACGTTCCATTCATCCAGGGGTGGTTGACCAGCGATGCAAAGGTATTTCTCAGGGACCCGACTGACACACAGACCTAGTTGAATGGGCAAAGTTTAACCTGGGCGTGGCTCAAGGGCTCAGCACTGCTTTGCACACAGAAGGACCCGGGTTCAAGCGCTGGCATCCTGAGGAAGGGCTGGACATCTTGGCAGGGTCAATCATTCTGGGCTAGGAGGACCGAGCATCATAGGAGGCAGCACCTCATGCTCCTACTGACCTTTCTTGGCACGCTCTTGGACTCCAATGCCCTCAGTCGCTTTTCGGAGGCCGGTATTAATGCGTGCCTGGACATAGCTGTAGGGCGCGTGCTTGTGTCCCTGAAGCTGCAGCTGCTGCTTTGTCGAAATAAGCCGGTGGCGGATGGCCTCGTTCTGCTTCTCCAGGTCCTGAACTTTCTCCTGCAGCTGCTCGATCACTTCCTCCATTTCCACATCCTGGCCCAGCCGCCTGGGGCCGCCACTGGCTTGCTCGGCTTTCTTCTTGTCATTAACGAGCCGTATTAACTTGGTGGCCATCCTGCAGGGGAAAGCGGGGGGCGGGGGAGTGAATAACATCCATAGGATGGAAAGAGGGGTGAGCAGGGTGCTGGGCTGTGGGGGGGGGGGAGTCAGCATAAAAAGCATTCTGTTGAAAGGAACATAATCACTGTAAAGACTTCAGTACAAAACCTGAATAATAAATTTCAGGTTTTGATAGAACTATTACTGCCTGTGAAGAAGTCTTTGAAGATAATTGGAACCACTGGGCAGCAATCTGCTTTATAGCACTGACAAGCAACAGTTTCCTAAGGCTGATCATTTAAAGTTTAGTCAAGAGAGAGGGATGCGTATTTACTCCATATGCTGCTCAAATTTGGAACGCATGACCTTCCCGAGGAACTCTGTTAAGGATCGTTACAGAGTGGGGAAGTGGTGGGGCCATGCAGAAAACCTACGGCCCCATATGATATCAGCCCCCCCCCCGACACAAATTTTTTCACTCAGAATTGCTGTGAATGATGATTGTGTTCTAAAATATGGCATGTCTTTAATGAATTTCAAGGGTGTGGGAGTTGAAAATAGATGTATTGTTGCTAAGAGAGGAGAAAAACTAACTTTGATGCAACATGAACACAGACATTATCATTTCCTTGCAATTCAGTTTTTAAATCAGTCTCTGAAAGCAGGTAAGGATGGTATTCCTTACTTCACTGAACTGTCTTCCAAAAATGAGTTAATATACTGAATTTGTTTGTATATATGAAATATTTCCTTATGTTGATGCTTTATAATTTGACAATACTGATTTTTTGCAAAGAAGACAGTATTACAGGACTGCATATGCAACACATTCCACCGAGGCGGTGCTTCCAGTTGGAGTGCAAGAGTGCGGGGGGGGGGGGGCGGCAACCCAAACGCCTTCAGTTCTGGCAACAAGCAGGTGGGCAGGGCCTGCAGAGGCAGCTCTTCACAGCTCGTGTCGCCTCACTACATCATACGTTCAGCAAATAATACCGATGCGCTTAGGAGAGGTTTAGCGGTTAGCCGGGGGACATAATTAGACGCAGGAGGCATGGTTTTCATCTAGCTTTAAAAGGATACAAGTTTTGCTTTTGGCATCTCCAGAGTTGTACCTTTTGATTTCTCTTAGTTTTGGTAAACATGGAGAAGCCAGAACAAAAGGCAAGAGAGGGCACCGTGGGGGTGATGCAATGTACAAGAACAGAAAACACTTCCAGCAATGAATTTGGGGGTAGTGTGGAGGAACTTGGCACGCAAAGAAAGAAAAGGTGGCTTTGATGGAGGAGAGAACTTCAAGATTCTACAAAATTGGTCGCACATCTTCAAGAGCTGCATCTGCTTTACAGGGAGAGTCCCTCTCTCTCCCTCTTTCTCTCTTTTTTGCAGAGGTCCAGACGGGAAACTGAAAATGGAGACACACTTCATTCATCTAAAAGGGCTTCCTTTCTTTTACTACGATTTAGATTTACTCGCAAGCTTTTTGCTAAAAAGAACAAAAGCGTATGTGTGGGAAGAGAATGTTAATAGTTTCGAGATGTCTCAGGACAAGCAAACTGCCTGTAAGCGTTGCTTTGAAAGGCACAATAGAAACACAGGAAATCTGTCTAGGACGGGAAGGTATCAGAAAGCCAATTCCTGTAGTGGAGCAAGATACGTAAAGCCCAGAAGCCCTGCAGGCTGCCTCCTACACCACATGGCTTTACTTCCGTGGCATGGCACTGACGGCCACCGATCTGAATTCTCACGGAGGAGAAGGCCTGTGACGGCTGCCAGGTCACTACATAGTACTTCCAGTATCAGAGGCCATGTGCCTGTGTATCCCAGTTGCTAGACAGCACAAGCCCTGCTTGTGGGATCTCATGGGCAGCCAGTCCGGCCTCCGTGTGAGCACAGAGCTCAACAGGTCTGATCCAGCAAAGCAATTCTGATGTTCTTAGAGGTGCTCGTCCATAAAAGGTGAACAGATGTGAACCGCTCAGGTGGCGAGAGGAAGGGCTTGCTGCAATCTTTTCTGCTTACTGCACTCATTCCTAGGAGCTTCTGACCAGGCTGCGGCCGTGTATGCCCGACAGACATCCTGTCTGGACTACTGCAACACAGTCCACATGGGGCTGCCTTTGAAAACTGTTCAGAAACTTTGGAAGTGCCTAAGGCTGTGGCCAGACTGTGGACTGGGGCCGGTGGCAGGAGCCCTTCCAACGGCTTTGTGACAAGGGCTTCACCGGTCTATTTCTGGGCAAAATTCAAAGTGCTGGTTAGGAGCCATCAAGGCCTAAGCAGCTTCAGGCCAGGCAGCCTGACATGCTGCCTTCTTCCAGGCTGGTTCCTAAGAACTTCTGGAGAAGATAAGTTTGATGGCCCGATGGAAAAGGGCCTTCTTGACCGCTCGCTAGCTGTGGAACTGCCATACAAGGCTGGCTCTGCTCCCCCTCTGCTGTCCTTCTGCACTTATTCAAGTGGGTCTTTGATGCGTAATCTGATCTGTTGGTTTCGGGGCTGTTTTTTTACCCCCTTAGCGTTGTGTTTTTATTTGTGTTTAATCGATTGCATAGTAAGTTCGATTATGCAATTGATTGATTAGTGAGTGTTGTTCCAGGAAATCAGACCTTTTGATTTTATCCTCTTGCTTGTGTGAGTGCTGCTTAAGTAAGATATTCTCCTCATGCAGGCGAAGGTATCGGTCTTCCAGCTCTTCTCGGCTGATGCGTGAAACGGTTTGCCGGGCTTTCGCATTTTGGGCAGCTGATGACTCTATGGAAAAGGAGCGTGACTCAATGAGACATTTTTCCCTGAGGCTTACAAACTACCTCAGGTCGCTAAACAGATATACTCCGGCATTTCTGGCTGAAGTAGGCTTCTTAGGAAGGAAAGCTGGGAATGATGGGCGATGTAGTCTGGCACATCTGGAGGGCACCAGACTGGACTAGTGTTGGGATTTGAGCAGGGAGACCACAATTCAAATCCCCCTTCAGCCAGAAAACATAATGGATGACCTTGGACCAGTAATTATTTGAATAACCAACTTGTGAAGATCCAGGAATGAAGAACATGGATCTTGCACCAAGTGCCTTGGAGGTTAGGTGGAATAAAATGAAACAGCCTAATATTTCTGTACATTTTGGGTTTTGCAGTCTCTCATAAATTGCTCTGTAATTTGCTTCTACCTCTGTCCCGTCTACAGTGCTCTGATTATCAATTATTTCCTGGATCACCTTTGCTCAGTCTCTGATTATTATTATTTTAAAAATTCTGCCATGCAATCTAAAAGACTGGGCACACCGGGGCCCCAGGAGGGCTGGATGTGGGCCGTGAGCCTGAGGTTCCCCACCTCTCCTCTGCGCTCTCCAGAGCGTTCTACTCAGGCCGTCTAGCCCATGGATCCCATTTCCTTAATCCTCTGTGTGCATTTATCCAGACAACCAGTCTGCGGCACGAGTGTTTAAAGTAGGCAACAAATTACAGTTTGTAAGAGGCAGTTACAAACCTTGTAGCCCTCCAAAATTCAGGCCTACATCTCTCACTGGTAGGTCCTCTGATGTTTCATCAGCCATGGCAGACATGGCTGAGCTGTGGATGACAAGGCACAAATGATTTATTTCTGTCTGCAAAGTGAATTGTAAAACCAAAGCTCATTGCAAATTTCCTGAGATTAAATTAAAGAGAAAGGTAATGACAGATTCTTGCAGAATTCTTTCAGAACCTCTATACCACACACAGACTTCAATGCTGTGGGCATAATCAACTTCCATTTAAAATGTTACTTTATGCATATCCCTTCCTCAGGAAAGACACCTATAATTTGTTTAAATGAAAAAATTTAATGGTCTAAATCCAGATGGACATGCCCAAGTTCAAAAGATTTGAAATGATAAACAATCAATAGGACAGTGCAGGAACAAGGATTTGTAATTTTTCTGTACTAAAGTAAGTCGAAAATAATATCCAGGTACTTCAATGAGCACTACTAAATCACAGTTCAGTGTTAAAAGTACCCCCCACGTGTTTTTTTGTTAGTCTGTTTCTGTTTCTGATCCTAACAAATGATGGTTAAGCTAAACTATGGTTTGCTGAAACAAGTCAACTTCAAACTAAGGGTGATGAAGTTGGCTATTTGAACAATACACAGTTAAGATTAACCACAGTTTAGGGTGGGGATGACAAGCTAAGTTGTGGTGATTCTAAAATGGAGGTGGAAACTTTGGAACTCCTCTTTGTAGCACACAGGAGGAAGAGAAGGGCTTAGGAATCTACAAGTCTGAAGCCTGGAACAGCTCTTTATTGTCATGTAAATCCATGGTTTAACATTACGTCAGCCCTTCCCAACTAGCTTGAACCTAACACTGTTGATTTTTCAATCAGGGCATTCTTTCAGTGGGATCGCCAAAATTCTCAGCAACATTTGAAGGGTTGTATCATTCCTGTTCTATCTGAAATGAGCCAGAACAGAGGCTCTGGGGACGACTGCATGGTTGGTGGAGCTGGCTGGGACTGATGCAGCCTTCAGCGCATTAGTCTTTTTAAAGAGAAGCAGCACTACCAGGAAGTTACAGGTGTGTGCTATGAAGATGACAGGGGAAGATGGAACTCTGGTGGGGCACACCACCGCTGTCAGCTGGAGGGAGTGATTCCATTTCAGGAAAGCTTTTGAGGGCCACGTGTCAGAGGTGCTTGGGGAGGAGGCGAGCGTAGTAGGGCCAAAATACAAAAATAACAGCATAACTTCTTTGCGAGCTCTTACTGCTACTAACTTGGCCTTAGGAGTGGTATTTTACTTTTGGAATGAGGAAAAATGCATAAAAGCTAAGAAATAGCCAAAGGATGGCTGGTGGAAAAAAAGCAGCCCCCCCCCCCCCGAAACAGAGCTATTCGGTAATTAGGTTGGGGAACCATTTCATTAGAGCCAATGGAACAATTTTCTCTACCTAAATGCATTAGATCTTTTTGTGTGGATGACAGAAAAATGCCCAGATAAGTATGCACAAATGTTTCTTGTGTATACAGGAGAGAGGCTAGCCATACCCACTGTAGCTTTGACCCCTACTTTTGGGAGAAAACGTGCCCCAAAGAAGGTCCCCCAGAAAGAAATTTGTCCCCTGGGAGTGGAAGGAGTCCAAATCTGAATGCGGCAGTCATTTGTCTGTCGATGTAACTGCATGTCGACAGTGTGGTGTAGTGGTTAAGAGCCTGGGACTGCCACTCAGACGATCTGGGTTCTAGTCCCCGCTCGGCCATGGAACCAACTGGGTGACTTTGGGCCAGTCACAAACTCTCAGCCCAACCTACCTCACAGGGTTGTTGTTGTGGGGATAAGATGGAGGAGGAGAGATGATGTAAGCTGCCTTGAGCCCTTTGTAGGAAAAAGGCAGGATACAAATTGCAATGTAAATAAATAAAAAATAAATGTCCCACCAATCCTTTTCTAAGAAGGGCAAAGATCCTTCTTAAAGCAACCTGTGTGACTGTAAACTGCTACTAAATATGCAGGGGACTAAATTTTTATTTGCCCGTTGCTAGCCAGGTCAAAAATTGTACCTGCCAATTCCTATTCCCCATGTGGGCATCCCTTCTGCTCCTGTTGGCTTTTCTCAATTTGGGCCCTGAGCACCTTGGCTCATGTACCCCTTGTCTTATGTGAGGACAGAGACTGAAAGGTTTCACTTTTGGAACAAACTGCAGTTCCTGATGGCATGAAACCCACCATTCCATGGTGCAGAATGATGTGAGTTGCAGTCCAGCAAGAACTGGAGGGTCCCATGGTCCCATTCTGATCTACTTTAAGCAGGAGCTAAGTCTGGATTCAACCCACTGTTTATTTGCATCGATTGTTTGTATAACAATAGACACACACACATGTAGCTTTAAAAGTATCAAACAGCACTTCAGGGAAGTTTGCCCTGGATGCTACGGGGATACAAGAAGGGAACAATGCTATGAATTCTACACGTGGCTGCCTGGCAACTGCACCCACCACACACACAGTACATCACACAAACAACCTGATTCCATTGATCGTATACACGTATGTCAACGTAACACTCAATTACAAACACAAGCATTCATGCACACACTGGATCACACACACACTGCATTCGTTGTTGGTCCGGGTGGTCAAATCTGACACGTGAAGATCCTATGAAGGAAAGCCCTCCAGAATGGCTGAACCAGGACAGCCCTGCTCTTCAAGGCGGTGGCTTCCTTACAAAGTCCTTATACACAATGTACACATATACATAAATGGATTGCATGTATGTGTATGTAGTCCGAAGGTACACTTTCTGTGGGATGTATAAACACTTTCAATCACTTATCCAAATGCACACAAGCAAACACGCACACTCTATATCACACCCACTTATTCTGAGTATATTTGATCAGGTAGAAGTATAGCTACATAACATAAACAAGAACATATAAATAGACACGTGCACAGATGCATATTATACGTATGCACACCCCACACATTCATACACATACCAGCTCACACTGATTGCATGCATGTGTTCGTGATACACACTGATGGATACACACCCAAACGTGCAGATTGCATATCTGCATATTCTTTCTCATATATACCATGCATGCATGCTCCCATTTTATTGGAGCCCCTGATTTATGGTGAGGCACCCCAGAATCCCTTGCAGGACCGGGTGGCCTCATCGAAGGGCAACCCTACCTCGCAGGGTTGTTGTGGGGACAGATCCGACTGGGGAATCCCGGAATCCCACCGGGGTTCCTCGTAGGGAAAAAGACTGGGGTATAACTGTAAGGAATCGAGGCAGATAAAATGCGGGGAGGCCTTCTAGCAAATAAATACCGAATCAAACAAAGCTATCGCATGCTGCGGAGGGTCCCGCGAGAAGCCGCGGAGGGATCTCGGGAGAAACGGCCGGGAGGACCGTCCGGCGCGCTCCCTCGCCCCACCCAGGCCTCCTCGGGAGCCAGACGCCTCCCGGGGAGCCCGCACTCACGGCCGCCCGGTCCTCCGCCGGCTCCCCTCCGCATCCTCCGCTAGCAACAGCCCCGTTGCTACCTCGCCGGCCACTTCCGCCCTCAGCCGAGCGGGAGGGGCGGGCTTCCGATGCCGCGCCCTCTTTCCCCGCCGAGGCTTCTGGGAGTTGAGGTTCCAAGCCGGGAATCCCGCCCCTCGCTCCCTGGGCGAGGCGCGACCGGCGGAGGCACGCATGCGCGCTCCCTCCCGGGCCTTCCCCGCGGACGGCCGCTGCGCGGTGCATCTCGGGAGTTGTGGTTCCTCGGGGGCCGGGCCAAGCTAGCCGCCTGGTCTGCGGAAGGCGCACGCGGCTGTGCCGGGAAGGAGCCTGCTCCCTTTTCACGGGCGGGCGTTTCGCCTGCGGAGCAGTGGCCGCGTGATGAAGAAGAGCGGAGCAGGCGAGAGAGAGAAGGATGCCAAGGTAAATCCTGCCCGGGAGAGCCAGCCAGGTGGAGACGGGGGCAGCCGTGCAGCATCGCTTGCGCCTCCTCCCCGGAATGCGCGTCCACACGTCACTGAGCCGTGCAATCCTAAGCGAGCTGCCTGAACGTGCGCCCCGTGAAAGTCCAACCCTCCGGGCGGACTCGCAAGCGGACTGCCCCGAGAGTGCAATTCTGGGCACGTCTGCGTGGATGCAAGCCCCGGTAATTAACTGCACTCCTTTGCACCTGGAAGTCAGCTCCACTCTGTGCAGTCGTGTGCTTACAAACTTAAGACCTGCTGCTTTTAATTTGGTTTGTTCTCCTGTAAGCCTGGCCCCTGTGATTTCTGCGGGGTGCCCCGGAGGACGTGCGTGCAATTCTAGAGCCCGATCTGTATCGTATTTAATCAAATATAAGTCCCACTGGGTTCTTAGCCCAGTTAAATGTGCACAGAATTGCGATGGCTTACAAATAACAGTCTGATGATTGGTCGCATCTATAGTCTACTCTTCCTCCATGCAGTGCAGGGCAGATGGTTCTCTCCACACTTCTATCCCCACAGCAATCCTGTGAGGTATGTTAAGCCAAGCTCAGAGTCACCCTATGGGCTGATAGCTAGAAGGAGATCTGTATCTGGATTCTTCTCTCTCAGTCCCAAATCCCAAACTGTAACCATGATCATACAATGCTGATTTTCCAAAAGGAAGGCCTATGGCTTTTGATGGCCCTTACTCCCTGGTAAGGGTGCCTAAGAACAAAACCTGACATCCCTTCCTAATGTTTTGCTCACTCAGAAGAGTCCGTGACATCTTCAAGTTTAACAGATTTATTGTGTCAGAAGCTGAAAGAGGGAGTCTGAGTTATCCCTCACTCAGAGGGGAACCTCACTGGGCGATTTTGGACCTGCCCATGTCTCCTAGCCTATCTTACCTTGCAGAGTTCTTGGATGACACTAGGAAAGAGGTGTGCGTTCCCTTGCGCTCCCCAGAAGAAACACAGGCTGTAAAGGGAACAAACGTGGCATGTTTCAGGTTGCTACTACCCTCTTTGTGGTTGCTTGCTGAAAAACCCCTCTCTCTCTGGAAATGGTTACTGAGAAGCAAGACACACTGTGTTTGTTTGTGCTATCTCCCAGATAAATGGGTAAGATTGAAACAGTGCGGTGTTATTCTGTATCTCTTCCGATAGGGGCTTATTTACATTATCAGAGCTTATTTCCAAGAATTTGGAACTTGGGAGAGGTGGAATCTGAGCTCCAAAATACAGGGCTACTTTTTGCACCCAAATAAGGAGGGTGCTGAGGAAGAATGCGTCAGTCTCTCAGTTTTGTACTATGCTAATGGCGGGGGGGTTGGGGAGGGGTTAGGGTGTGCAAGAGAGGTGTTTGTGGGTACCACATCGGAGGACCCAGGAGTATTAAGTCCTTGCTAAGATGGGCCAGTGGTTCCATCTCTCTGTGTAATCTTTCTGGTCTTCTCTGCGCCTGAGATCTCTCTCTATCATCCCCAAGCATAAATTACTGCTGAGTTACGATTTTTTGTCAAGGGAACTAACTTTCTGAGATGGTTCTGTCAATGGAAATTGTCCGGTGGGATGGGCCTGAAGCTGCGTTATTGGCCCCAAATGCTATTAATGAGACAGCTTATTGAGAAATAGTGTGTGTTTGATGTAATACATCGCCCCTGTGTTGGCAACACGGTGCACGGATTCAGGAGGGGAGAGGGGGACGAAACTCAAGATGGAGAGCATGGCAAATGTGCTGTGCTTTAAAATTCATCACACCGACTGTGGTTCAAATTGCCCCAGCTGTTAATGCTGGGACCATTACAGTAATGGCTTCTGCAAATGAAGGAGAACCAACACACACACACGGTTTATTACCAGAGGGGTAATTTTCTTTTCATCTGTAATAGCAGCAGAACCTCGTATTGATCAGCCCATCAAGATTCTAATCCTCTGTAAAATTACTTGTTATAACTGAAAATGTGTTAATCCAAATCAGCCAATGTCCCGACTTTCTGCTTGCTATTGAATACTGGCCATTAGATGGTTTATTTTTCATGATTTAAGGCCTTTAAACATTGATAACAGTTGGGTCTTCCTTTGCGGGAAGGGGTGCTTAATCTTTGCTCATAGCACACGGATGTCTTCTGCTTTTAAACAGAACATCAGCCACTTAATTAAGGAGCAATGTCTGTCTTGCTGCCCAGAGTTATACTGGTGCTTTTGGCAGATTTATTGAGAGGCTAAATATAAACCTGGATGTAAAACTTGTGTGTGGGTTTCTCTGATTATGTTAGTTTATATTTGTTTATTTAAATGAATACATGTGATTCTGCTCCCTAAAAGGACCTTGAGGTGGCTTATAGTCCATCGTCTGTGGGACTGGGACTCAGGGGACCTGGGTTCAAGTCCCCACTCGGCCATGGAGCCAACACAGTGACTTTGGGCCAGTCACAAATGCTCAGCCCAGTCTACCTCACAGGGTTGCTGTTGGGGGGGACAAGAGTGAGAGCAGCAGGAGGAGAATTAGGTAAGCTGCTTTGAGATCATAGTTCATTGAGGAAAAAGTAGGGTATAAATCTAATAAATAAACAAGCAGGTAGGTACCTAACACACAAGGAAAGTGGGTTGGGGAAGGAAGAGGAAAAATAACGGGGAGAATGGCCCCGCTTCCCATCCCATTGCCCAGGAGGGGAGAGGACAGTTCAACAGTCTGCGAATAAGGCCAGGATGAAACTTACACAGTGAAACTTAAATGAAATAAATGAATAAATATTTTTCTAGGTTGCATATAGAAAGCTCATCAGAAACATCTGAAGATGCAAGGTACTTGTTGTTTATGGTAATCTTCTTAAATCAGTGTCCTTTATGGAGTCCAGCCAACTCATGTTTGGTCTTCTCCTGCCTTCAAAATTCTAGCATGATGGTCTTCTCCAAGCAATCTTGCCTTCCCATGATGTGCCCAAAGCACAACAGCTTCAGTTTTGTCATTTATTATTTCAGGGCAGATTCTGGCTTGTTTGATCCAGGATGCCCTTGTTTGTCTCTCTGTCAGTCTGGCATATTCACAAACTCTGTTCCAGCACCATGGTCTGGAACAAGCTTCTGAATACAGAATGTTTGAAAAGATCACAAAAGCTTGCCTAACTTTTTCAGGGCCTGCACTAAAGCAGGTCTCTGTAGGTACCATTGTTCGTTTCCCTGGCAGTAGCTACATCAAATGACATTCTTCTGCTAATGAGTACAAGTGTATTTTCTGTGTGCTTCCCATTGTGTTCTGGTTTTAAATAGTGAGAAGTTCTGAAGTTACGAAATGTGCAGATTTAGTAGTTCCGACAGCTTTTCTTTCATTATGCCTCAGTTGCACACTGGCCCCTTCATTAAAGGATTGTGTGTGTCTCTCTGAATTTTGTCCAGCTCGATTTTCCCCTTTCCCTGCAGCTCATCCCGGTGCTTTTATTTAAGGTGATAAAGTTACTTTAGTACAACTGCCGTCACCACCTCTGCCCTCAGCTAATCAAATACTTTAGCTGGAGGGAAGCATCTATCTCGCACTTTCATTATTATTATTTTTGTAGCTGTAAAGATACATATATATATATATATGGTGTCAGGAGAAGGCTGTAACGGTGAAACGAGGTATTGATCTGCTGTATTTGGCAATTTCTTTCTACCTTGCCATCGATATCATGTCAGCCTTCGACTGTACTGTAGTTGACCTCACAAATAGCTACCTCGTTATGTTCCCATTGGATTCAGATGATATACTATGCTGAAGACTAAATCAATGAATGATTATAAACTTTTGAGTATTATTTCATGACCCTGAGGCAACCGGGGTGTCATGCGCGGAATGCTTGAAATGATACCACATGTGGGAAAGTAGCAAGCCTGCTCTTTCGGGGAGCGACCAGCCGGCTTTGCACCCGAGATGGAAGCACGGGTGTGAGCTGGACGCCTTCCGACCTCCAAGGGGGAAGTGGCCTGACTTCATGTCCCTCCTTGTTTTGGCGCCTCGCTCAGTTGACATCTCCGTCCCCACTTCTGTTCTCCATCCCCGCAGTGGCTCCTTCAGCGCTGGTGTTGGGACTGCATCCTTCACCACATCTGAGGGCAGTGGGCTGGTTTAGGATGGGGGGCGAGCCATGTGGTCCCCAGAAGGATCTATCCAGTGCTTCACTGACTCTACTGGTCCCCTGTCATCAGCTGCCAGAGACTGCTCTCTCACTCTGCCTTACAGCCGGGCTGGCCCTGAGTCCCAGTGCCCAGAAGTTCAGATGGAAGTCCAGGCTGGATAAGAGCTCTTCTCGCTGGCGTATAGTTTTCTGTGTGGAGGGCTTTGTGTGTGTGTGCTGATCCCGTCACTAAGAACTAGGCCTGTTCCTACCCAAAGCTGACCCAAGACAATTCACTGATCCAACTAACAGCTCAGTTTGATGGCATAGTCTGATGGACTATGTCTTTAGAAGTCTTTAGAAGCATGGGATTTTAGAGTGAGTGGGGACTCCGGATCCCATTCAGCATATCGGCCCTTGCTTAGTGTCCCTGCAGCATCCCACGCAGGTGGTCTTCCCAGCATGGAAGAGCTCCCCATGGCTGAGGAAGCCTGTTCTACTGTCAAGGAGCCCTTCTCGTGAACGTTTCTTTGCAACTTCTATACGTTAGTCGTACTGTTGCCCTGTGGAACAGCCTTAAACAAATCGGGTCTGTCTTTTGAGCATGAGCCTTTGAAAAGTTGAAGGACTCATCTCCCCATCCTATTCTTTCAATGCTTTCTCTTGGGACCTGTTTGCCAGGCCATTGAGGGATTGCAAGGAAGCATTTATGTTGCCCTCTATAACAGCAAATTCCATCCTTTCTTCTCCACCCCACTTTTTATTCCCGAAACAACCCCAAGAGGTAATCTGTGAGAGAGTGGCTTCCTGCTACCAGGTCACCTGTGGTCCTTTACGGCTGATAAAAGATTTGAACCCAGGTCCTCAAGCTCCAAATCCCA